AATTAGGAAAGTTAAATCAATCGGGTATCTTAGAGGTATCTACGGAATTCCATGCCAACAGGCCGACAACAGTGATCGTCTGTTGCAATTTTTCCCAACTTTCACTTGTTTCTGGCCAACACTTAATACATAAAGACACTGTTTCGCTTGGCATCGGCTGACATGAAATCAGTTATGGATAAAGATAGATCATATTGCTGTAAGCCACTGTTACAGAGGCGCGATAGAGGATCGCTGCTCTGTCTGGAGTACCTGTTTGAACCCCGATCATGTGCATTTGGTCGGACGAAACAGGTGGCAGTGAAGCCTATGTGCTGGATTAGAAGATAAGAACCGGAAGTATGTTTTTAGTTAGGAGATAGCTAAGGATTTATCGGAATGTAACAGCAATTCTCATCCTGTTAAAGTTTGGCGTGCTCAGTCTGGTGTAGAAACAGCAATGAAGACAGTTGTTAACCTTGATCCAAAGATTAGCAAAGCCAGTGGATTTTCTCAACGTCATCCTAACTGATTGGTTTGAGAAGTCTCATTTCAGCAGGTTCTAAACACAATGAAGAGCGAAGTCAACTAAAACGTAAATTTGCTAAGAGTCTTTTCAGTGATCGTGAGCAACAGTGGGTGGATAAAGCAAGAAAAATGGAGAAGTTATCAGCATTAGGTATAACCAAACGATTATTTACCCTTATTGAGGATACTGGGAAGAAGAAAACGATGGTGGGTGGGATCTTTATCAAGAAGGATGGGACCGTCAGGTCAAAAAGATGGTTAGAAATCTCAGCGGAACATTTTGAAGCCTAGTTAAACTGGCCCGCAGAGACGCTTTAGTTGCCCATCATTCGACTCGAACCTGAATGGGACATCAATATCGGTCTTCCGACTGTCCTCAAAGTTGAGAAGGCCGTTTAGGAACTGAAAGGAAAGTAGCAGAACCTGACGGTTTGCCACCTGAAGTTTTCAAGAATAGAGGTAGGAAATTGGTTACTAGAGTAACAGTGGAACTAAGTACTGCATGGGAACCAGATATAGTGCCATCAGAATGGTCTACGCTGATCATTCCAGTCTATAAAGAAAAAGAGAAATCTTTTGACAACCATAGGAGGATAATTTTAACTAGTATTGTGTCTGAGACCTTAGGGTCCATAGTTATCCGACTTCTAACTGGAGCTCAGTGACAACAAACTCGAGAAAACCAGGCAGGTTTTAGACAGCTGGTCGAGGGTGAATCGGTCATATTTCGACAGGTTCTGGAGAACAGGCATACTTACCGGGGACCGACATTTGACTTTGTCGAACATGAGATGCTGTGGCAACGTCTGGCTGTAAAGAGAGCACCGGGCAAGTATATGAAGCTAATCAAAGCCCTCTACTCGAACTCACGCAGTCGTGTTACGGATTATGGAGAGTTATCATCAGAATTGACGACACCCAGTGATGTCCACCACAGATCCCCACTGTCACCGTTCTTATTTAATTTCGTTATCAATGTAATAATGATAATAATAATAGGTACGTGTGACGACGTGGATTGATCTACTTCCTGGAGGTCATCTGATTGACTCTTAATATGCCTATTATACTTCCTTGTAGGTGAAAATGATAAAAAAAATTCAAGGTCTTGTGAACGTGTTTATCATAAATCTGAGTATATTTGGCATGTGTTCTATACTTGTCAAATGTAAGATAGTGCTTCAGGATTGGTCTACAGTTTATGACAGGGAATGAAGTAGTAGAATGGGTTGACCACTTCAATTACTTGGGGAGTTGGGGCATGAAATTTCAGTTCGGATACAGAAGGTTTATTTGGCATTTTCCAACTTGCGTCGCGTGTGGTACCGACTGGCGAGGTATCAAAGGATGAGTGTACTTAACTGCAGTCCGTTCTATCCTGTTATACGGCTATAAGAGATAGCGTTGAAAGTAGAATATACGAAGCGGTTACAGGTTTCCGCCCCAGGTATCTTCCTAAGATTGCTCACGTTTGCTGGAATCACCGTGTGAGCAATTTTGGGGTCAGGTGAAGGGTATCAGGCAAGACAAGCAAGTTGATCGAATAAAGTTGTGAATTTTCATCGGCTGAGTTGGTTCGGATATGTGTCACACATCTCGTCTCACAGTCTATCTAGGCATGCGATGTTAGCTGGTGAAAGATTAATTAAGAAAATAGCACTAAGCATTACCAAATCGAGCGAGACATAGCACCAGTCCATTAAGTCTCTGATCGTTTGTCCTGGGCCGAGTAGGGAGGTGTAAACTGCGTGGTTCGAATTCACAAGGTGATATGAATCAATGATTGTAGACATTGGTGACATGGCTGAAAATCGTTCACAATGGCGCGGATGTATTCACTCCTTGACGTTTTCAGAAGCTTGAATGTTTTCACCTACCTCCATATTCCAAACCTTTTATCCCCCATAAACCTTTGTTTACTCCACTCTCACTATTTTCAGACCCTCTTGATCTCTGCATGCTCCTGTGAACTGTAGCAAAAAGAAACCGACACACTGTTATGCTAAATTCTTCATTGATTTGTATCCGTATGTCGGACTTTTGTGCACTATAAGTTGATGTGATGCCATCCAGGTCACAAATCAAGCTACGAAAAGTCTGAGCTGAGTGGAATCACATCATAAATATATGTATATCCAAGTTGGATAGGAGTGGTGGAAGTTGACAAAAGTGGTTTTCACCACATCACCTGAAAACATTATTTTAACCTATTAAAAGTGGTGCGCGTTCAAACAGAACCTTGATTGACATTATCTCCTTGGAAAACAGGGTTGAAAGGGAATATGTATTTTTGGTCAATTCTCATCAGGCTTTACAAATTATTCAACATAGTCATTTGGCATCAGTTTAGTCAATTGAATTCGGTTATGTTAATTAGAGGATAACAATAAAAGCAATAATAAAAGAAACAAAACCTTGGAAAGTTTATATATTCACAATAAGTGAATCGTGTGTGTGCTGGGATGGAGGGGATCAAAATAATTGTCGCATAGCAATCAGATAGTATAATGTTAAGATTCTTAATCAATTATGAAATTAGTAGTAAATTATACAATTGAAATTAAGACGGAGTGTAACGATAAGAGTACTTATTTACACTTATATCTGGGTGACCGGAAAGGAAATTATTTTAGTTTTATTTGAGTTGGAGTTGAAGACCATCGGAGGAAAAGGGGACGAATAAATATCTTCTGTATGCATAGATTGGGTTTGGAAATTTTTAATTGCTATGGCTTCTAGTATGCTTAGCGATCGGAAGGACTTTATAAAGACTGGTAAATGCTGAAGTTTTGTCAGTGTTACACTCAGTATCTACCAGACAGGGGAGTATTGAGCTTTTGATGGATTTCACTGTTCCTTTACCAAACCACGCTGAACAGTGTTCAGTGAAGCGACGATTGGCTTGCTGGGTCGTTCTACCTATGTAAGTATCTTTACAGGACCAGTTACATTTATAAATGCGGTCATACTTGGTAGTCTATCCATCAAGTGCACTGGGATTACAAAATGAGTAGTGAATTTCAAATGTAGCTGCAAGGAGGGTTTTTCTTAACAGGTTTCTAAGGTTTAGTGTCAGTGCTACTGCATCTGCTGTGAACGCTAAAGTTAAATGTAGTCGTTTTTTCAATACCATCTGAAGGGACTCTGCTCCAGCTATTTTCATTGTAACAGTCCTTACCGACTAGTGATCAGAAATGTATAAACTGGCCGACCCATGAATTCTTACAAAATATACTGCCACTGTTCCTCTTGAAAACAAAACATCAAGAGATGGCACAGATCCGTCTTTCTCGGTTTCACATGTGAACCCGATTTCTGAATGAGCGCTGTTGAATGCATCAAGAAGGATGTCAGGATTGGTATCATTTTTTGTAGAGAATGAATGTGTCGTCCATGTATCTAAATAGAAAGACAGTTTATCTATCGTGCTACACAGTGACCTACTTTTTAATTTTACCATAAACATGTCGGCTAGAAGAGGACCTAATAGTGAACCCATTGCCACATTTTCTATCTGACGGTAAATTTCCCAGATATGATTAAAATAGTTTCTTTTCCGGTCACCCAGGTATTAGTGTAAATATTACCTCTGTTTATACTCTTATCGTTACACTCCGTCTTAATTCCAATTGTATAATTTACTACTAGTTTCATAATTGATTAAGAATTTTAACATTATACTATCTGATTGCTATGCGACAATTATTTTGATCCCCTCCATCCCAGCACATACACAATTCACTTATTGTGAATATATAGACTTTCCAAGATTTTGTTTCTTTTATTATTGCTTTTATTGTTATCCTCTAATTAACATAACCGAATTCAATTGACTAAACTGATGTCAAATGACTATGTTGAATAATTTGTAAATGTAATTGTAAAGCCTGATGAGAATTGACCGAAAATACATATTCCCTTTCAACCCTGTTTTCTGAGAATATATTTGTTTGAACCTGTCCGTACCTGCACTATCACATAGCCTTTAAACAATCGAGGTGGATTTCCATCTTCTGTTCGCCATAGGACGATAAATGTCAAGTGGACCGCAATCTTGTCATCAAGCTTGTGCTCATTCGAGCTGTGAGCAATCAGCCACACCTATTGTGTTAAGGCTAGTGATACTACCTGACTGCCCAAACTTCGAAAGGTTTTATAGTGCTCCAACATGTTACCCATGGATTGGAAGTTAATTACCTGTGCCAATGAGACACAACTCTACTGATTGCTAGGCACTTATATTCATATCCCGAAACCTATCGAAGTGCTAGAATCTGTTCATTGTATGCTTCTCCGCTTCTGAAATCTGACGTGGTTCTTCTTAAGTCAGTTGTTTTTGATTTTCTGCATAAACCTAAAATTTCTCTTCCTTTCACGTTGTGCAACGGAATCTGCGGTTAACTTGCATCGTTCGTAAAGCACCGTTTGAAATGTATATTAGTTCCCGTAATAACCTGTGGTTCATGCTAACTTTCTATTTTTCCCACTTGTAGTTTCTGTTTCCAATTGAGGATCGGATGCTTCATTTATTGATTGAATGCTAAGCAGTTAACTGGTGAATATCCTAAATTTGGTCATGTACATCTTGGTTGTGAAGGTAACCAACAAACCAGAATAATCTGGAAAGTAAGTTACCGTTTTTAAAGATTCGAGGTATATAAATTATCTGAAATCCCTTAATAAATATTCGTTAAACATGCTTATTGGTAGTAAGCGTTAAACTATCTGTACTGTCTATTTGTTCACTGAGCCATTTCCTGATGTTAAATTAAGTGTTCTATGTAATGCCCATACATCTTGAGACCCTAGATAGCTTCCTGGTTCCCTTGGTGACTATTGATAACTGGCTTTGCAAACTAACATTGTACAGTTTTCTTAACATACTCATTTTCTTCATATGTTGACTCGAATTTATCTGAATTCTATATCTTGAATAATTGCTTTTCTAATAGTCTGTCAGTAAAGCTAGGGATAATTCGAAAGCTCAAATACACAAACATTTGAAGATCTTGCATGTTTGCGCATTATTATGAGTCGCTATAAGGTTGTAAACCTTCATCGACCGACTCTGCTCTCGAAGTACTACTCTGGATGTAACCTTTGCATTGTTCATATAACAGTTTCACTGTAAATGCGTCCTAACAGGCTCAATTGTCCTGAAGTATCTAATGGCTCCTCAAGTCCTCCACCTTTAATGGTGATACTTTTCAGCCTTCTAGTTTAACAGAAAGTAATATACTCGACTCTTAAAAACTGTTGGCAATGCCGTAATTGGCGTAAGTTGACGAAAGGCAGTCGAACCTTTCACATCCATAATAGAGTGTCGTCAGCTATCGAGAATGGTGCTCATTCTCAGGTAAGTAAAGTGGTTAGTGCAAGAACCGAGGTATGTAGGAGGTCGGAAATAAACCCTTAAGCTTTCGAAAAGTGTTCAGAACACTGATATTTCTTACTTAAAACTATGTCGCCTACGTTACGCTAAGCTGACAAATTACTATGTGCATAGCAAATCAATTCTTCAGTATGATCATGTTATTTTGTTTGCCATTTGACAGTATATAGGTTACTTAAATCGCAACTAATTAGTCAGGTATGCTTGTAATTCTCCGTTGTTCTATTGCATCAAATTGATCGACCTGTTTTGTTATATAGTCTCTTATGCGGATACCTCGATATTACCTGAATATTTATTTTCCGTTGTTATAACAATGAGGTACGAGGTTCGAGTCCTTGTGGGAACAACATTACTCACTGTGGTGCAGGTACGTCCAGCTGATTATTCTCAAATAAGATACGATGCACTTCCTGGATTCCACTGCTAGCCACAACCAAGCAGATTATAAAAAATAATCAGTTAGGGATCAGTATCTGTAAGCATGATATGTGATTTGAAACATCGAGGTACTTTTGCATGATTGAACGGAGCACGTACCTACACTCATCCTTCGCAGTGAACTGTTAGAAGTTGTCGAAAAGTACACACAGCGGGCTAGTTATATGAGAGTACTGTTGGTGTGGCTAGTGAAATTCTTTACCGTCCATCATAGTCGAAGGGATACACCGATATTTTTATAAATAATAAAGATCATCTTATCAAAATTAGTCAGGGATCTCTGTTCTCTCTGCATTGTTTCTGCCGTCAACACTATCACTGATTAATCTTCTTTTTTGGAATCAGTGCTTAGTTTTCGTCAGTTTTTATTGAGTAATGACTCCAGTTGATGCCAAACTGTTTCCATTAAAAGTTAGTTCATGTTGAACAGTGTTGAAGAAACTGAAATTGTTGGGTTATTTCTCCCTTGTAAAACTGTCTTCTTGGTTGATATCTTTTGGATATAGTTTAACTAGTATTAACTTGATTCATATCATTTTCATTTTAGACTTTCTAAATGTCCTGTTCTGAAGTTACAACTGCCAGTTTAAGTGTGAAAAGATGTTGTGAACCGGTTTATTCAGAGTATGTATTCATCTGTTTTATTTTCAGTGCTAATTCACTTCTTTTAGGAAGTCAGAAAAAAATGTAAGATCAGTTATCACAATAGGCATATTCATACTTATACACATTTTAATTTAGACTAAATATCCTCGTCTGTCAGATAATTTGAGAAGTAATATCATAGATTGTTCGTCAACTTCTAATCCAATCGAATTGACACCAACCAACATTTTAAATGATTTTGATAATCTGGATAGTCCTGTGTGTGGTAGTGATCGACTCGCTCAGTTATCTGCATTAATCGACCAATGTTCACATGGAGAATTGCTACACATTAAAAGAACAATTAAACCGCTGTTGAAACGAGATTTTATAGCGCATCTACCTGCTGAAATTTCTTTGCGTATTCTAAAGTATTTATCACCTCGAGATATATTTCATTGCACTCAGGTGAGTTTTTAAAAAAAAATCTGCATTGTTTTGTCTAGTAGGAAGAATTATGTGCGTGCGTATGTTTATGTTCACTTCTGTGTTAGAGAAGTAGTCCAACTCACAACTTTCCAAGCACTTACGCGTTTGTGTGTGTGTGTGTATAAAGAGTCGGATAGTTAGACCTCTTGACTACTTAAACACAACTAGGTAGGATAGGGTTTCATCACCCGTTAGCTGAAACAAGTTGCAGTAAACCAGTAATCCGTAACTTTTGAGGATGATTAATAGTTCTCATAGCCATAAACTCTCTTTTTTACTTTTTGGTTTCTTAGGGCGTAAGGGTAAGGTTTATCTCCGACCTAGGAATTTTTCTACTCTCTCTTAATCGAGAGTTGTTCATGCAACAAGTTACTTGAGAGGACCTAGCTATGCTCATGTTACCAGGTTATCAAGTCTCTAATACTCGTCTTTTTCAGTATGTGATACACTAGTGATTTGTTATATTGTTTATTGTTTTATAAAAATAGTTAAGTAATGGGAAGTCAGTCGTAGAAGTGGATTAATGATATGCTCATTTCTTGAAGAAAATTACTTTAAGTACAATCACTACTGGTAAGCTGTGCATAAGTACAAAACCAATGCAGGTAAATATCGATTAAAAATATCCAAAAAGTTCATGTGTGACTGTTGTTAAGCAGCTATCTCCTTTGGGCTTTATCATGACTCTCCTAGGTTGATGAGATCACTATCCTTCTCTAATTTCTTTTTCATAGACCTTAAAGAAAAGTGAATTAACATACAGACATCTGCGAATTCTTAGCTCCACAGACGCGCATCCAGCAGCAGTCGATGGTCTTGCAGTTCTGCCAGGTCCCATATTAACAGTATCCATTTTTCATGCTGTGAATATTTGAACTGAAATTTTTAAGATTGAGTAATTTTGAGGGAGGCTTCACACTTACGAAATGTTTGTCATTTTGATACAACGTGATATAACTATGTACGCTTATAAACATTTGACTAATGACCTTCAGATTCCGTCTCCTATACACACTTGATTCCTTGGAAATGGTTGGGATTGATATAAATTTCATTCTAGGCTTAATCTTGGTAAAGATACATATATATCTATGGTAAACGATTTCAGGGATTACGGGTCTGCTTGAGTCTCTTTTATATCATAGGTCATGTGTCGTTATATCACATCGGTAACGTAAATGCCAGATGTGTAGAGCTTTAGGAGGATGAAGTGGCGAACCTTCGTTAGCTCAAGTTGCTGGATACGTGCTACGCGTACCTAGTCGGTGTTCATCCCACTGGATAATATTAGCTAAAGTAGGCTCGAACTGAAATAATTGTAGAGGCATCCAGACTAAAATATGGCGTTAGTCCATGAATTCTCTGACTGTTAGTCTAAGTCGGAAATGTAGACTTCTAGGTTAGGATTTGCGTAACAGTAGAAACCGATGGTTGGATACTCCAGGTAATACCGCTCAGAATCAATCTCACTGGTGCAAATATATCCACAGGTAATCTTCATCCTAATCATCATACTGAATTCAGTATTTTCTTATTCCTCCTTGCTAACTTTTGATCGCTTTCTGATTTATCTTTCATCTTAGTGCCTTCTCGTTTGATGTGAGGTGTGACCACTTGAACCGTTACGTAGTAATGACAAGTGTGTATATTGACTGACTGAAGTTAATATTGTACATTGTAAATCGTAGGCAAATAGTTTTAAAATGATAATATTTCTTGTGTCAACATTTATCACTATTAAGATCAAATTTTTCCAGCTGTAAATTTTTCTTTTAAATCAAACAAACTACGCGCAACGTTGTATACGCGAATAATGTAAAGCGGGAAATGTTTTGTGAAATGCTGAAGACACAATCTTCGAAAATTTAAGTTTTATCTACTATAAACAGTGTAATTAGATGCATAATTTCATCTGTTATTGTCGTATGTATACGCACTATGTACAAGCGGCAAAAGATAGTCAAATTCTGTATTTTCGATAAGACTAAGAGTTTTTCCTAATTGGTGGTGATGAAAAGATTCAACTAAGCTGTTTAAGGATCTCCATTAATGAGTTTTCTAACCTACTTGCAAAGGAAGAGTGTCTAGAAATGCATATTATGCATTTAATTCCCTTTGAATTGACAATATCTACATCACCGGTGAGTTGAACAGTGTATCAGTTTTACTGATTGGAAGTTCAACATTCATCGTAATGTGTATTTGATAAGAAATGGTACATTTCCAGGTTCTCTATCAACAATTGCTTTGAAAACATCACTCACCTTCGAGGAAGCAATTAATTTGTTGTATCGGAAGTGGTTAACGTACATTCTTTGTACACCGGTTAATCATGGTGTAGAATGATGTATTGTATTTGAGCTGTTGGCTCAGTTAGTTTAAGGAGATGACTACCAACCGCTAACCTACCGAGGTTTGGCAGCCAAGTAGTGTTACTAGCCCTCACACAGTAGGTGTGGCGCATTGACTACTGCACAGATGTGCATAAGGTAGCTGAGTGCGTTTCGTTTTCGTATTTAAGACATATCTATTGTACACAGGTTTTCACGAAGTAAATCTTCCGAAATTTTCGATTACTTAACCAGTTAGTTGAAAATCAGTTGCCTTAACCGACATTACGCACATCTACACTGTTTATAGCGTACTACTAAACAAAGACCGGGAAAGAGGAAGTGACGTGTAACTTGTTGTTATCAGTTCGGATGTGGAATGTCGATCAACCGATCAACTCCGGCTCTCAGAACACTTTTACATGGACTGAAGACTTAAATACCGAATTTCGATATCAGTGTGGGTGGCTTCTACCTACTCGTACTGTTGAGTTCCACATTTCATTAGTTTACCCTGCTTTGTGTCACAGACTACACTTTTTCATCATTGCTGAGTTGTTTTCAACGGAAACCTACAGTTGGGTAGTTAAAAAAACTAGTTGACGATGATAAATGTCAACACTGATAGTGCAAAATAATCATCCAGTTTATGGTTTACCAGTCGATTGAAGTCACCTACCCAGATTTAGTCTGGACAGTTCATCTCTTTAAACTGACTTTGTTTACTTACACTGCTGATAAGCTGGGCTCAAAATGAGTAAAACGACCGTCTATTGTCCAGACTACTTTTATAGCTAACGAAATCACATCAACATGAGTGGTTTTAAACTACTGATCTTGTTTGGTAGCGTATTCCAAATTCAGATTACTGTTATCTAAAGTGCTATGTAAAACACAGTATTTATGGTAAGTCTGACTTCGCATAGTGACCTACTATCTGGATAGTCATCTGGTTGACTTAGAGTATGCAGACGATTTTGTCCTGTTAAGTGAAGACACTGACAAAATGCAGGGTCTTGTGATCGTGTTGAGCAGAAATCTGAGTGTTTGGCACGCGTTTCGCTGTCAAATATAAGGTGATGCTCCATGACTGGTATGCTGCAAATACTCTCTGTTCATTGATTGGGAGTGAAGTGGTGGGATGTGTCAACTACTTCACTTACTTGGGGAGTTGGATCAGCCCGAACGGGTTGGTTGCTGACAAAATCTCACCTTGGATACAGAAGGCCCATTTGACATTTGCTAACTTCCGTCATCTGTGGCGCCGACTGGCGAAATATCCGACTACTTATCAAAGGTCGAGTACACTGCGCTGCAGTCCATTATGTCCTATTGTACAGCTGTGAGACATGGCTGTTGAAAGTAGAAGGTAAGAAGCAGCTACAGGGTCTTGATCATAGGTGTCTTTGTAAAATTGCTCGTGTTTGTTGGAATCACTGCGTGAGGAATTTTGATGTCAAGTAAAGGTTACTAAACATGGTGGGCAAGTGGGTTGATGAGGTTGTGAGCCTCCATCGGCTGAGATAGCTTGGACATGTGTTGCGCTTAGCAACCCGCTGTCTATCTCAACGTACCGTTCTAGGGGTCGTTGGATTAGGTTGGAAGAAGGTTTACGGTGGTCAGACCTACTATCTGGATAGTCATCTGGTTGACTTAGAGTATGCAGACGATTTTGTCCTGTTAAGTGAAGACACTGACAAAATGCAGGGTCTTGTGATCGTGTTGAGCAGAAATCTGAGTGTTTGGCACGCGTTTCGCTGTCAAATATAAGGTGATGCTCCATGACTGGTATGCTGCAAATACTCTCTGTTCATTGATTGGGAGTGAAGTGGTGGGATGTGTCAACTACTTCACTTACTTGGGGAGTTGGATCAGCCCGAACGGGTTGGTTGCTGACAAAATCTCACCTTGGATACAGAAGGCCCATTTGACATTTGCTAACTTCCGTCATCTGTGGCGCCGACTGGCGAAATATCCGACTACTTATCAAAGGTCGAGTACACTGCGCTGCAGTCCATTATGTCCTATTGTACAGCTGTGAGACATGGCTGTTGAAAGTAGAAGGTAAGAAGCAGCTACAGGGTCTTGATCATAGGTGTCTTTGTAAAATTGCTCGTGTTTGTTGGAATCACTGCGTGAGGAATTTTGATGTCAAGTAAAGGTTACTAAACATGGTGGGCAAGTGGGTTGATGAGGTTGTGAGCCTCCATCGGCTGAGATAGCTTGGACATGTGTTGCGCTTAGCAACCCGCTGTCTATCTCAACGTACCGTTCTAGGGGTCGTTGGATTAGGTTGGAAGAAGGTTTACGGTGGTCAGACCAAGACCTGGCATTAGTCGATGAGTCTTGTAGGGACATACAGACTGCCTGGTAGGGGTTTCCGAGACGAAAGGAATCAGTGGTTGAGGATTGTTGGTGACATGACTAGTAATCGGTCACAATGTCGCAGATGTATTCATCCCTTGATATCTTATAAAGCCTGAATATTTGCTCTAACCCTTATCTTCAAGGTGCTTATTCTCTCATGCAACTTTATCTACTTTGATATCACACTTTTTCTATCCAATTGTTCTTTGTATACTACTTTGAAGTGTGTGGCAACTTTTACCGATGCACTTATGTGCAAGGTTCTACGTTAATTTTGTCTGTTTGTCTACATATTACTCATGTTACACTTTCCTACCTGTTATTTAAACCATTCATGACTTCACTACATTTAAGCTTATCGTAATTTCCGTCTTTGTCTCTCTTACTTTAGGTCTCTCGAAATTGGCTACATATTTGTAATGATAACTTACTGTGGTATTATGTGTGTACATTTACTGGATTATCTAACCTACTATATAACGGATCTTTGGTTAAGTATTATTCAGGTAATCTGTCTATTTATTAAAACAATAACTATCAATCTTTAAAAACAATTATAGATAGTCAACATGATTGTCCGTTATGCATCCATATATCTACCAGCGCTGTATGCAATGAAACAAATTCTTGTATTGAACAAAATATGAAAAATGATCATTTTGTTACCGTTACGGAAGACAAATATATTGGTGATATGGAGAGTGATCCTGTTCAAGTGCATAATGCAGACGAAGAGTTAACATCTTTACCGTGTTCCACTGTCAGTTCTATGCAATATTCTCATGTAAACAAGGTAATTTTATAATTATCAGCAAGCTATTTTTGTCAGGCATGTTTTAAAAAAATCTTCTGTTTGTCACACGTTGATTTGAATTTCTTTCAAGGTAGATATCATTATAAGAATTCATGTTGATGATGCAAAACTTTAAAAAATAGAAGTAGTTGCTTCATCCTTGATCGAAATCTTTTATTAGTACGCACCAACATTCCCGTGCAGGACAGAGTTCAGGACTATGAATTCTCTGAATGAACCGTTTACCTATACAGTGATTAGGTTTCTGTTAATTACTTGATATTTCGTGAAAATCATTCTTTTGTCATATGATGTAGGTTTTTGGGTGTGCACTGTTGAGAAAACCCAGTCTCCAACGTATATAATTGATAGCTTATTTCGAAAATAGTTTCCGTGTATATTATGGATAACAGTGGAATATAGTAAGCATAGTTTGTCCTATATAAAATCAGTTATCTAAAAATACTCACATCCTTAAAGCAAGAGTAAGTAACATTAAGATGTGACTAATTATTGCAACTACCCATTTAATAACTGCAGTTGATCATTTTGTTCATATCAATCAGCAAGGAGGAATTCCACGTTTTAGTGATACAAGAAATAGTCATCGACTCAGCACATGAATTTAGACATATTGCATATCATTTTAAACATCTCATGGCAGTTTCTGTTTGGTAATGTAATGAATATAATGTTTAGATGTGACAGACTCTATTCTTTATAAGGGTCATGACCATGTTCTACTAAAGTGTCAAAGCAGAAGAAAAAGCCTATCCTATACTTCTTGATTTCTAATGTTTCTCAGGCTTTTGTCCCCTTGTGATGGAGACTTTCTTGAAATCAATGAGTTCTCAACAGACCACTCAATTGAAAATATATGTAGCAATAATTATTGTTGAAGAGTTTTTATTTATGGTTTCGAGCTGGTAGATGGAAGTTTGGGTTTTTAGTGTTTTTCAGTCGTCATCAGTAGCTCATAACTACCATATTAAGATTGGCAATTTGCTAGGGAGATTCAGAGATATTTCATTCAGCATCATTCCAGGTGAAGTATTTAAATCAAATCCACCTTCCTGCCTGGATGAGTTATTCATAAAAATCGACAACCAGTTATTAATCACTTACCTTCATGACTTCATTTTACTACCATTGGCATTGTACTATGATATTGATCATCGTTAGATAACGCATTTTTGTGGGGTTCAGGAATTTTTATATTCTCTGTACTTTTTGGTCTGTTTATTGATAACGTGGTTGCTCGTGGGTACAAATAAAAACTGATTGTTTCTTGGATTATCTCATTACTTCTGTGAAACCTATAAGTTTTTATGTTGAATGCTTCTATAACTATCTTGAAGTGAAGTTATGGCTCCATGGGGTTAAGCTTCCAACTTCACACTACTGGATCGTGGGTTCAAACATTGATGCCTCTCTCAGTGTTTGAGCAGCTAAATAACATCGCTATCCATCGTGCAGTAGGCATGATTTCTAACTTTTGTTTAGATTCATTTTGATAAGCCAGGGGTACAGCTCTTTTTAATTGCTCCTGGTTTTTTAAACACATAGTGCTGATCTGGATCAAATTCAATGTATTTCTCCTTTTAAAACAGGTCGATTGGAAGTCGTTATATCGTCAGTATCTGCATACTCAGTGTAATTGGAGAAACGGTGGACCTTGGCATCCAATTATTGTACCAGCACACCATGTAAGCTTATCATGCATTTTTTGCTAGTCATCACTTTACAGTCTATAAATTATGTTCTGATAGTCATATGTTATTGAATGACAAAAGTTTTACGCGTAGATTTACTTCTAGCAATTTTAACTCCAGTCTATTTCTATATGCATAACTCGGCTATTCTGTTTCTGGAAGCCACTAAGTTATCATGGGGTCTCTCCTAACCCTTTGTATTTTACACATAAATTTTCATTTCATTGCTTTATTGTTGCCAGTTTGTAATAGCTTTCATCTTCATCGAGGGCTGGAATTCGTCTGATGAGCTACACCTCCGAAAAATTGAAATAACTATTCGTGTTTTAAAATCACCTTATTCTAGTTGGCAAAAATATGTGGATTGGTGTGAGTGACTTCCAGTTATTCGTGAATGCTTCTGTCTCAAATGTCAAAATCTGTGATCTTGGCTGAATGGTTTTCTACGTAAATTATACTAACGATACAATGGAACTGTTAGATAAATACTTAGCCATCAGAAATGTCATTGTGAAATGTATCATTTGTGGTTCAACATCAAATGGTCAATACATTTATGTGTAGGTCTCCTGATTTTTATCTATAAAACAGGCAGAACTTATATCAGGTATTTAGACGATATAACTTAAGACTGATGACACTTTTTGTTAGGGATGTCTAATCCCTAAGAATAACTAACAATATATTTATATTATTTTCGCACCCTTTTCGCGCCATGCTATGTCACTTATTTTCACCGCAGTTTAGGACACTAAACTCTGGTTCACTTCGCACTTTTAATATGCTATTTTGTTTTCCCTGGCCAAGGCCATCTAAGAAAATATAAAGGACTGAGTTTTCAGCTGTTATGATGCGGTTGAAGTAAACATTCTTTCAACCCCATCGTCTTTTGGTGTCAGCTAGATGTCGAGTTGAGAAGTCATTGTTCTATCGTTAATCGTATCGCGTCGGAGCATTGTATCGGTATGTATACCGTGAGTCATAACAGTGGCGGTGGAGATGGGATATTAGGAAATGATTTCTTCGAAGTTGGACAACAAATGAGGATTATCGAGATACTTATGCAATCTAAAATTTCTGGTACTGAATCGTCGTCTACTACGCCAGTTTTAATAGCTCTTTCAGTTGATAGCATCACAAATAACATCACTGAATTTCACTACGATCCTGATCCCAATGAGACTTTCGGTGTTTGGTTCAGGCGTTACGAAGACTACTTCAAATTGAATTTTTCTGGACAAGGTGATTCTTAGAAGATACATCTCCTATTTCGAAAGCTTGGTCTACCTGAGCTCGACCAACACTGCAACATAATTCAACTGACATCAGTTGGAGAGCCATTTAAAGCTTGGGAGGGTTGAACAGCTGTTTTGCCGTAGTATGTGACTCGTCAACAGCGTGTACCCGCTACCCCGCCAGAAATCAAACCCAATACCGTCAGCTTTCGTTGCAAGCATCTTGCTATTCAGCTACTGTTGGAATCCAGCGGTCTGCATTCTCCTACTTCTGTTGATTTGGGATATGGTGTGAGTATTATCCAGTTTCATCATGGAGTACTCGTCTTTACATCCGACTTGGTTGACCCCAAAGGTCATGACTTTTCGTTAGAACTTCAGAAAATCCATTCCGAAAAATGTTTTTGATGAACACTGGACAGTAATTCAATTGATGGTTCATAAGGAATGGTTGTTTTTAAAGGTACTAATCATCGTGGAATGACGTCAGTTGAGCTGGATCTCTTCTAGAGTTATACGTGCGCATTTCTGATGAATTCCATACCAGAAGAAAACAACTATCTAGAGTACCCATTTTTTCAGTTGTTCTCCAGTTGATGTTAATCTTGTGATAAATACTATCCTTAAAGTCAGTCAATCCCCACAAACCATCAGTTAAATTTTTATTGTGTTTGGATCTATTCAACGCTTCATTCAATTACGTTATCTGTGACCTTTTTTATTGTGTATTTTTGATGAAGGAAGATGTGAATAACGTCATACATCACATGATAAGATGCATACAACTTCACACTGAATGATCATATTTTGAAAGTAATGATAATATAAACAGGATTAAGCAAGAAGTTTAGGTACACGTTTCTCACCTCATTCATACATCTATGATAATTTAATTCTGATGATCCCGGTAAAGAAGCTTGGATTAGACTTTTGCGTGAAACTTCGAAATTATTTTATCTCAAACACGCTAAGGTTTATATGCAAATATAACGTGTACATATTGTCAACTTTTCACTTGACGCTCAATATTTCTGATAATATTCACTTGAGTCTTAGACATATATCATATAAATTATAATGTAATTCCCATTCATGAAAAAAACGCGTAGAATTGTGAATACCTGAATTTTAACAGCCTTTCTCCCGTTAACTACAGCAGTGCATTAGTTAAAACACTATTTCACTGAGTTCAAATGATGTTCCAATGATAAATTGGGGGAAGAGTTACAAATAGCTAAGTTTGTTTACAGAATGATGTTTATCTACAAATATTTACCAGGATATGGGGGAAAATAGAAGCGGGAAAGCTGAAGAAAACAACAATCAGCAAAAAGCCTGTATTTATTTACTGCGGGAACTACTAACAGATGACTGAAAACATTACTTGCTAGGACCTCCTCTACAACCAGTCTATCTCCTGTGTACCGAATAATTTGTTCATTAGTCCTGTCAGAGTCGACAGGTACACTTCCTATGTTACTTCCAATTGAGTATACCAACTTGCGTGTAACTACCGAATCTGATACGTTGAAAGAACAGAAACAAGGTCTACCTAAGATTTTCTGAACACATTCCGAATAGCGCTAACAATTATGGGGGAGTAACATTGTGAACAGTGTAGTCACGCGACATCTAATTATCAATGGACATTAGGTAGAAGTCTTCAATCCTTTCATAAAGATTCATGGAGGCTGTATCCATCCACCAAAGCTGTAGTCCTCCTCTGTTTACCTTGGTAACATTTCCCCGAACATAACTAGATTACATCATCCCCTATTAAATTTAGATTTTCATCTTTTCACTCTCACTTCACTTGTATCATCTTTTCCTCCGTCAGATTTATTCATATAGACTTTTCAAGCAGCCAAACTCGATTCAGAATGTTGTAACGACCTACCTATCGACTGAATGAATGACTTACTTTATCTTATGATGTTAAGTCCTTGAATATTTTGGTTGCTATGCCTATTGCTTCTATTTGAGAAACTTCAGTTGAACTGGTTGTATACTTGTGATAATTTGTTAACGTTTGTTAGCTTTCCATCATTTTGTTATCATGATTTACCAATATGTTATGTCTATTTCTGTTTGCTTTAACTGTTGACGGGCGTTCTGTTTTCTTTCAGTGAGTCAAAGTGTGTTCAATTCTCAATAAAACTATATATTTTGTTATTCTTGTTTGTAAGCAGCCGACAAGATACCGCTGAAATAGAAGGTATCTTTTTTTATTGTGCTCCCGTTGTCGTTCTTTTTAAATTCATAACAAAGAATTCCTTAATGAAATATTAGATAGTGATTTGATTACATCATTTCTTCAATATCTGTGCCCAACTATCGGAAATTGGATCTCCTATAAGAAACTTTTGATATCCCCCTGAATACTCAGTGACCTCGTATGGGAGACAAAACTTTCCAAATGTGTATGAATTCTCAGTGACACAGTGGTTGAGACATATTCATTGACCACTAAACCGGATACAACATGTCGGCTACTCTATCAGTAAGCTGTAGGAAGCCGTAGTGAGTTCGGGGATTTACATTCACATCCCATGCTTGGTGATTGGAAAACGCGTATGTTCTGGTATAGCTGAGAGTGAGATGAGACCGCTCATCCCCTAGAAATGCAGTCATTCGTTCACTGTCTGTAATGGGATAGTTCTGTTTACATATTAGAAGTGTTTCCACGAAAGTGAAAGGCCAAAAAAATGGATGTTCGTCGCATATTGTTGCATTATTTGGGAGTTCATCTGAGGCAGTTGGTAAGCCATAATTCCGAACCACTCCGCAATTCAAAACAAACATATAGTGTAGGAAACGACTCTGGTCACTGGCAACCGTGTAAATGCAGTACCTAACATTTCTCTTCTGTTTTATGGATCAGACTTCTATTCCAAAGCTCGAATAGTTTTCATATAACACAACCACCCAAAGGGGAAACGACGAGTTGGGCGTCTGAGGATGACATGGAGGAGATCGTATGAAGAAAAAATGAAAGCTTCTGGACAGTCATGGAGCCAGGGTAAAAAGACTGCAGAGAAGAGAGTGCAATGGAGACGTTCTACTGAAGCCTTATGTTCCACTGGGAATCCAAAGGACAAATAATAAAAGATAACCACCTGCTTTCTTTGGAGCAACAGGATAGTATTGTAACCCTTACACTGTCTGCGTTAATATAAGCTATGGATTTTGGTGACATAATAAGCTATTTGTTGTTTGTTTTATTAGCTATGTTCCTCATGATAGCAGAAATCAGTGATCCAACATACCAAGCAACTTGGCTAACAACTGAGATAGTATACAGTTGCTCTGGATATTTCATTATTTCGTCTTCCTAGTTTTCTCCAGTCTTTGGATCCACACACCACGCCATCTTACCTTGCCAATAATCATTTATCTATTTTTACTGATACATCGCTGCACCAAGTTTTTGTCATCCAGTTACCTTACTCGATAAACGTTTTATGCATGTGGTCCATCTTTTGTTTAATTCAGGATTTTATTTTAACCAACTATGTAATTTTAATGTATGTATAACTCTTGTCTTTGATATCAATCGAAATTTATTCCCGTGGATCTGCATTCTAATAAGAATATCAATGGAGATGACACTTTTACACTCCATTTATTATTGTTGTTTATATACTATATTGACTGACATCAGTAATTGTTGGCGTTCACCTCAATTAACATTCGTCGCTATCTATCGATTCTCTTATCGGATTCTGTAGTTTGTAAACAGCTTGTTGGATTTCAGTCTGTTTAATTGCATTACCAAAGTTTTAGCGGTTTAAACATTTAGACTCATAACTAACTAGACCCGGTCTATTGTTGTTGAGCCTTCTTTGCATAGGTCATTTCGATCTGTATAAGGAACACTATTAACGTAAGAGGGTGATATACAACTCCTCATGCCAGTCAGCAATATTTATATTTAGCGTATTTAAGGGAAGCGTTTGGAAAGGTGGAGCGGATGTGGTTCTTGTATTAGACTCAGAACTGGCTATTGGGTCAAAAATTAGTCAGAGACATTACAATGTTTGAATCCGGAGGTTTGTGAGGATTTATTGGTTTTAACTTGATATTCATTGTGAACTGACACCAGTTGGAGAAATATTGAAAATCCGAGAGTACTGACTAGCTGTGTCGCCCTAGTTTGGGGCTCAGCAGTGCATACCCATTACTCTGTCAGGAATCGAACCCAGAACCGTCATGTTTCATGGTAAGCATGTTACCATTGAGTCACTAGATTTGGTTCGACACTAACATCTTGATTGGTAGACTTTACTCGTTATCACACCAATTAAAACATTTACTAGCAATCTATTTCCATAGGCAATCAGTTAGTGCCCTAAATGATGCATCACTAAAGTTTGTTCTTGTGATGATGTAGGTGATGCACGTAAAACTTTGAAGGAACATGAGTTTTCTTTTAAAATTTCTGGCATATTTCACTGAAAGTTGACTGGAAAAATGAAATTTACACTCACGATTTTCCTCAAACCTCTCACAATCATCAAATGTCAAGTGTTCGTTTTTCTAGCGCACAGTATATGTACCCCATATGTTTTCTGACTATAGAGAGGAAGATTCATATGATATTAGTGTCGTATAGTATATATTACTATTAGATAGTTGGAGACAGTTTACACGAAGTTTTGAGTCCGGATTCCCAGTTCGTTGACACTCACTTATGTCCCTCCTAGAATTTGAACCCGCATCATTCAATTTTTAGTCAAATACTTCATTGTTGAGCTGCATCGAGTATGACTGACCTCCTGAGACTTGATAAATCACATCAGTCAACCTTAGGAGAACAACTAATAGCATATCCTGTTGCTCTTGTTAATGCCTGGATTCGACTGATTGATTCTTTAAATTACCTCCGACGTTAAGTATCACAGTGGAGTGTGTTCAGAGTTACTTGATTTAAAGTGTTCTGTATCTGTATCTGTGTTATTCAGGAAGCTGAAGTCTTCTGTCATGAGTAATTTCCACTATTCTTTTCTGGATTTATAAGCGATGCGTTTCTAATTTGTATCTTAATCGTAGTAAAGACTCCCATATGTTGTTGTATTTATCATTTGTAGAATCATGTAATCACCTGCTTAGAGGTCTATGAAGATTGGGCAATCACTGGGTCAGATGATTCTAGTATCTGCATATGGAATATAAGTACTGGTCAATGCCTAATTAACTTATTCGGTCATCTTGGCGGTGTATGGTCACTGACAGTTATCTCACGTCAGTTCTGTACAAACAAGAAAGATTTTCATCAGTCTGATCAATATCCTTTGCTTATATCTGGAAGTTGTGATCGAACAGCTCGTGTATGGCAGTTAGACGGTCAACGTTGGCCTTGTATAGCTACACTGTTTGGACACCAGTCAACTGTTCGGTGTCTAGCTAGTCAAAAGCCGCGATGTAGTCCAAAATTTGTCCTTGACAATACTGATTGTGATGATAGTTTCAGTGTTGTAGGCCAAGGTGGTCTAAATTTGTGTACAAATGACAATAGTGATGCTACTGACAATGATGGTGATATCACTGCTGGAGATGATGATTCAGAGAAGGAATTTACTATACAGAACATTTTTAAGAGCAGTCGAAATAACCATAATAACAATCATCACTGTGATGACGTTTCTAAGAATTTAAGTGTTAATCTAACGAGCAATCAATCTTGTGATACATTAATCGTATCAAGTGAATTCATCAATCCAAATGTAAAGGTATTTCACCAACAAACATTGGAAAATAGTCACTTGGTTGTTACAGGTAGCCGTGATACTACTCTACGTTTGTGGAATGCCTTAACTGGCGAATGTATGCAAGAATTTCGAGGTAATTGAATGAATTTACTCTACAGAATAAAAATGATAGTGTTTTTCCCTTCCTGTTTCTCCTTTTTGTGCAGGTCCGTGTATCCGATCATAATAGTGATATGTTTTATCATGACTTTAATAGTTGTTACCTAACTCCTCAAACCGTAGTGAGAAATTTCTATCTGTAAGATATGCAGTTAGTTTTCTGCTCCATACTTTACGGCTCTCTTTGAATTATTAAAGTAGAAAGCCGATACTTACAAATCCCTTTCAGATCTGAATTTTAACTTAAGAAACGGACTTATTCACCAAGATAGACGCAAGTTTTATTGCAGTATCGTATTTGAAGGTGGAATGCTTTGCTGGGTGACATCACTTGCAAAACCATTGAAAACCTGGGGACACCAGGGGCTGTTTCGTCCTTGTATGAACCCCCCCCCCCGACAGTGTAAACCCTTTCCTTGTAGTGGTAAAGTGAAGCATCCACTTCGTTATAACAGAGTATAGAAGTCACAACTGGACTGAAATGAGTATTTTTGTTTAACAGTCACCATAACTATTTTTTTCTGCACTAAGCTGTGAAGCGTATCTCCTACGCGAATGAAAATGGTACTCTCTGACTAATCAGATTTGTGTAGGTGGGATGAATTGTGATTGTACGACTCTGTCAGCTAAAACTCTAGTACTTAAGATACTGAGACAAGTCTGCAAAAGACATCTATAACCTGCTTGTGGTTGGTTTTAATAACAAATTTGAAAGATATGAATCTGTGGTTGTCTCCAATTATGTTTTCACCTTAGTATTGGTTGACAGGTAGACACCAGTGGCATAGATTTTAGCATAGCTGTGTGAAATTCCAGGTTGTCAAATGTTGTATCGTCTTAAGTAATGGAAACTAGCAAGAAGTGTGAGAAATAAATGAGAAAGCAGTCAATCAGCCATCATCAGCCTGGGGCTTGGTATCTCAGCCTAGAGGTCCAAGCTGCCAAATCATACCAGCGCTTCAAAGTAGGTTACACAAAGATGGATGATAGAGAAGTGAAGAAGAAAATACTGAAAAGTGGCATAAAGTCGAAGAAAGCGAACAGGAAGGAATCAAACGACGATTAAGATGATGAGTTTGTGTGGATGTATCTGCGCCACTGACGTCATTTATGAGCCATATTGCCCAGAGTCTCCAACCGCCGGTTTCAGTTAACACACGGACCCCAACCTGGAAGTCTACATCTACCCATATGGCTCAGAACAACATTCAAAGATTTCGTACACTGATATCATGTTTTAATCTTGCTACCTCTAACATTTTTCCAGCCTGAAAATACTTCAGCTAACATTGGGTGATGAGGCATGCGTAACACATATTCCAGCCATCTCAGTTGATGAAGGTTTAAACCCGCTTCAACTGACTTTCCTTACCTCCCTAAAACTCTACACCTGACTTCTGCATTACTGACAGCGTGATACCAAGACATATGGCCTATACTACGAAGGCAACGATGGTCAGACAGCTGAAGCCTTATCGTGTCCTCTGCTCTGATTGACCTTGTTTCACAACCGTACAGTAGAAAAAGTCAAAATGCAGCACTGTACACTCGACCCTTGTTCGACAATCAGATATCTCGGTGGCGTCACGGATAGCGTAAGTTGACAAATCTAGTCGAGTCTTTGATATCCATGTAGAGATTTCGTCGGCTACTGACCAACTTTGGCTATTAAATGAAGTGGTCAACGCACTCAACTATTTCACTCAGCACTTTGAGATAGGGGACCATTGGAGACCAGTCGTGGAGTAACAGCTTGCATTTGGGTAGTGGGAATCTCATCCCGTACATCCTCAAGGTGTCACTTAACAGGACTGTGTCATCTGCGTACTCTAAATCAGCTAGTGGTTCTTCTGTGATAAGATCAATGCATCTACAATCAAACGATAAAATGGAGACTTCCGCGAGTACATCTATGATAGGATGGAATAAGAATGGAGAGAGTGGATACTTTTGACGGACACCAGTGGACTTACACAACACTTATAATAACTCATCATACCCTCTGACAGAAGCATGGGTGCTTGAATACGAAGTTGTTAACAGGGTGATGTACTTACCGAGCATTCCTTTAGGTGACATTTTTAAATGTCCTCTCCATCGAGGACGTTAAATGCCACCTTCAGGACAAAAGGTGGGCTTGAGAGAAGATATGTGTTCTTGTGTTTCAGAGTTTGGTGAATGGTGAATATCTGGTTGATGCACCCATGACCAGGTCTAGAACGTGTCTGATCTTCGTACGTTTGCTGTTCTCGACCTCCAAACGCCTGATAGTTACGGAACCTAGAATGTTAGACTCTGCATCAGACTGATTCCCCGGTATCTATCGCAGGAGGAATTCTCGTTTTACTTGAAGTCTATGGCAATCAGTTATTTAGACCAATTTGAGAGGTGTCATCTAATATTTCCACTTGCTAGACAGGACTTCAGTTAACCTGACCAATAATCTATGACCACTGTCTTTAAATACCTTTGTTCGTAGCTTGTTTGGCCTTGCTACTCTGTCATTTCAGGTTACTTAACTTCAGCAACAGTTGGAGGGTCTTTCTCTGCGTTCCATTAAGGATCCAAATAGATAATGGGCAACGGAATAGAGGCTTGAAAAGAGTTGAACTGTTCCTCGAAGTTTTCTACCTATCGTCTAAGTCGTCTGTCCTGAGATCGAACCACAAAATCCATCCTTTTCCCCTATAATCTCACTAACAGCTGGCTGTGCCCAGTTTGGTTAACCAGTCTAAATAACTGTTTGTGGTTACCGCTTTTTTCCTCCTCTTCATCCTTCGTTGCCCGCCACTGTTCAGGGTAATTGCCTAGACTCCTACTTTTGGTTTGACTCTGCTGGTCATTATCTCAGAGCCTGCAGAGGTTCGTTCACACGCATCCATATATTGAAAAGTAGCCATTGAGATCTGCTGGTTGTTTCAGATATTTTTGGGAAGGATATTTACCATCTTTAACTCTGACTTCCAGCAGACAGGAAATTGCTCTGGTTTTCTGTAGGATGTGTGACATTGGTTCCAGTAACCTCCCGGTGGATCTGTGGCTCACTGGCTTAGAGTAGATGACTTTCAACCAGTGGGTCACGCGTCCGAACCCAGTCCACCTACGGAGGTTTGAGCAGTCAGGTAGTTATCGCTGGCCCTCGCACAACAGGTATATGTCCTACCTACTACATGAGGTTGCTGAATTCACTTCGATTCAAATAATCACATGACCAGTTCTTTATCATCTAGCTAAGTTCAGAATGGTTTCGAAACCTTAGTCGATAGTAAAGATAGTTGTGTCAACGGTTGTAAAGCCAAGATAATGCAGGAGGAAGACAAGATCGTGAAGTGAGTTAAAGTGTGTAGCGGTTTGACTTTTCCAAAACTGAAATGAAGATCTGGATATTTCCTCGCAATTCTGATCAATCCTTACCCTTGGTTATACATCATTTACGTATTCATGCCTTAGTGTTCTAGACAATTTACAAACACTGTATTGCTCTTTCGATTAGGCAAATCATTATCAATGAATTTTTCCAATCGTTTTAGTTAGATTGATAAAATTTGGTTAACTCTAGAGTTTAGCGTATTTAAGCTGTGATACATTAGTTCAAAACTCCAAATATTGAGATAGCTGACTATGCATTCAAAATCATATTCAGCTAACAAGCAACCAGTTAGTATCATGATTAGTTCTCATATAATAGGATTGATTCACCCTGATTCTCTTTCTGTTTTTGATTATGAGGACGTATATAATTAGTTTGTTTACTATTGAAGCACATCGACTGGATCGTTAGTAGCTCAACTGGAGTGGTGTAGTGAACCGATTAGTAACAATAAACAGTATCAGGGGGGATAATATCAAGGTAAATGCATCGTGGACTTCTCATTTGCTCACATTCTGTACTATGAAGGTTTAGGCACTTATGTTAATCAAATAATGTCTTCCACCTCTTTTTTATATGAACACTCTCCATAACTTATACTATACTCATATTGATTTCCTTTACTCATGTCAAGGTCATCGTGGAGCTATACGTTGTGTTCAGTTTACTGGTGATCAAATTGTTTCGGGTAGTTATGATTGTACAATTCGTCTATGGTGTGCATTACAAGGTCATTGTTTGCGTGTTTTCAGTGCTCATACCAATCGTGTTTATACGTTATTATTCGATGGCTATCATATTATCAGTGGTTCACTGGACACAACTATACGTATATGGAATGCACACACCGGTGTTCTAAAACAAACATTTTATGGTCATCGTTCATTAACCAGTGAATTAGCATTTGGTTCCGAACAGAATATTCTAGTATCAAGTAATGCAGATGAAACAATTCGAGTTTGGCACATACATAGTGGAAAGTGTGTACATGTTCTTGCTGGTAGGTGTGCTTATATATGTAGGGTTCATTTTTCAGTAGTTTCAAGAGTAAACACGAAGAATTCATTTACAACTTTTTTTTTTTCATTATTCAAATTCGAAAAGTTAGTTTCACTGTAGTAAAAGATGTTAACACTTGGTTATTTGGACTACCGCTTGTTTGAGAAGTTGTATCATTCTCTCATAGGCCAGTTACAGATGAGATTTTGGCTTGTTTTGCATTTTTCTACTAATACATCTACATAGAGCTAATGAGGTAAACGACTTTATGTCGGATAGCGAGTGTATAGTGTAGCAGTTTTCTCATTCCTTCTCTAGAACTGTACGACACCAGGAGATTACTGATATTCATTACTGGTTCTTGGTTAAACAAACGAATGAGCAATACTAATGCTAGGCGTAGTACTCTAAACATTAAGTTTAAGTAAGTCAGTGAGTTTGGCAAAATTTGGCTACCTAAGTGACCGGAACATTTAACACACCAAGTCCCTGCCTACCTTAGTAATGTGAATTATAGTAGCAATAAGGTTATCAATAGATAGACGAAATCAGCATAGAAGTGTATCGGTTCAACTTGTAACATTTCACATCAGCATGCAAAAAGCAATTGAGTAGAAAAGGGTGATAGTGAAGTAGACGAAGGTATATGGTAGGGAAAGTAATTAGGAGATAAAGGTTAGTGAAAATATTCAAGCTTTTGAAGACATCAAGGGGTGAATACGTCTGCTTCATTGTGACCGATTTTTAGTCTCATCACCAAAGGTTTCCAACAATCGATTCCTATCGTCTCGAGGATTCAAACCACATAGTTTACACCTCCCTACTTAGTTTAGACCAAAAGTCCAGAAACTTCATGGGATGGTGGCATGTCTCACTTGATATGGCAACACTGAACGCCTTCTAAACCAATCCTACATTGGTTAACACTGTATATCGATATAGGTGGTGGATTAGCATGAAAAATTTAGTGGAAAGATGCGCTGATAAAAACTTTCTTGTCAATTCTACCTAGCTGACATCGAAGAAGAAATGGTACTCAAATTGAAAAGATTTATTTTGACCATGTAAAACGAATTGTTTGCACAACTCAGTCCTGTACATACTGTAATGGTAAACCTGAGACAGATAAATTACTTATGAGAGAAGCCACTAGGAAACTGGTTTCATACAGCGACGAAATTAAATAGTGAAGGAGTGAGAGAAAAGTTGTATGGGTGAGAAATTCAATTTATTTGTACTTTATGTACATGTAATTTAGTTATTGCAGGTGTGTACAACATATCATTTTGGATATACTACGAATTTCTTTGCAGAAGTGCGAATTGAAACCTATCAATTGATTTTTTGTTTTACAAATAAACCTGTTATTCAAACGATGCATCAGATTCATAACACAAGATTTATTGGAAATACAGTACTCTATTATTGACCAACAATAATGACTAATTAGTTATAAATTTTGAATTCTTAGGTGTCTATGGGCCTAACACTGTTAAAAGCATTTTACTTGAAGTGCATCAACAAGATAGGTGGAGTTGTGTGCATAGCTAATCATTGTCGAAAATGTTACAATGCGCAGATCCACAGAGCAAAGTAAAAAGTATAAGGCGGGGATTTGTTGAAGGGGAGACAGAGCATCATGGAAACAGTCAAAATACTGTCAATATACGCCAAAAAATCTATTTTAACAATCCTAGTTACGGACCACACTATCAAAAGATTTTTAAAAAACATCATACTACTAGTCAATGGTAAGTAGTGTAAACGTAGGGGTAAAAGATTTACATGAGTAACTTTAAAATGGGAAACGAAAAGGAACTGAGAACATGAGTAACATGCAATATCCAATTAGTTGTATAATTGATAACGATGAAAACTGATTTTATCTGTTCCCAATTATTATTTAAACATGCAGTAATTGATCCTATCCCCCTAATGAATTAGCCTACACGTAATTGTAAAAAGTCAAAAATCCATTTTTCGGTCATTAAGCTTTCAAGAATAAACAGACTGAAATGGATTTTTTTTTCATTTTACATTGCGGTATCTACCTGTTGATAATATTCTTTTCAAGGATTGAAAGGAATGAGTACACGTATCTCAGTTTTCAAATGATTAGCAGGGTAATAATTCAGTTATTTTTATTAATGAATTTTTGTTTTGTTGAGGTCATCCTAGTGATTGCTTCTAACCAACTAAAAATGTGACTTCTATCAGAAAGAGCTTTTGACAATTATGTCTTCAACTAAATTCTCAAGATATAACGTTAATATAACTGCCAAAGTGGGAGTCCAAAAGACTTCTCACGGTAACTTTATCAATTCGATGTAAATGTTCACCCTCAAATGTATATTTGAAGTTTCTTGTGAATAGAACTAATAACCGTTTAAGTGGGAAAAATAAGTAGATATTGAAAAATTATAAACAGCAAGTGTTTGATGCAAATAGTCATTAGTGATGAGTAAGGAACTTTACGTCTAAAGAACACACAAATTTATTACTTTTTTTATGCTAATGCCATCAAAGAGTATTTTGCCTGATAACATCCATAATTTATCTACCTATTGAGCTAGCTTGTACACCGGTGATCTACACACTGACGTTATACGGCGTGAAGGACTGTTGGGTGTATTATACTTTGGATAAAGCATAAAAATGTGTGTACACACGTCGAGTAGTTGCTTGAATACTCTACAAAATTCAGACTGCAATATTTTTCTCTTCAGATTCATGAGAAATAGCTTATCTTCATTTCTTATTCGCTTGTTATCTTATAATTCATATTTCAATCAGGTCCTCACAAACATCAATCAGCTGTTACATGTGTTCAACTGACTCGTAACTTTATCATATCGTCAGGAGATGATGGTACCGTTAAACTTTGGGATAAACAATCAGGTGCATATATTCGAGATCTGCTACGACTTGATGGAGCTGGACGAGGTGGTGTCATCTGGCGAATAGTTGCATCTGAAAATCGGTTGATATGTGCTGCTGGTAGTCGAATTGGTATGGAACCGACAAAATTAGTGATATTACGATTTCAAGAACCTCAACTATGTTCACAACATTCAAATCATCATCACAGTAATACTAATACTAATAATAATAAGTCGATGACCTTCAATCATGTTTGCCGTCCTAGACATAAATATGCACCAGAACCAAGACTTAGTCAACTTATGTGTACAAGTTTAGGCACATGTTGATTACAATCGTTAGTTATCTTTACTTTCAAGATGACCAGGAGCAATTCATCATTATCTTATCCTGTATATAAGGATGTATGTTCCATTTCTCTTCTTCCTCTTTTTCATATATTATTCCTTCTATTTTTTCTAAACATTTTATTGAAAATAACATTCTAACTATGCATCATTCTAGGTAAATCATCAACCACTACTGCAAAATAATAAATACCTAGTTGTGAAAGATGTTCAATTGTTTTCATCGAAAAAGAATAATTGGATTAAAAACCCGATTGTTCACCTGCCACTCATTCAACCCAACTGGTCAACTTTTTTGAAAGTGACCTGATTTCTAGTTTACTTTGACATACTCTCCTGAAGGGTTAAACTAGGTTCTTTAGATTGCATGAATCTTAGTAGTTGACTTGAGTCGACAAATATGCACTAGTCGTCTACATGTTTTCTAATAGTCCATGTTGCTTTTTAATCATCTATATATGTTGCTATCCACAAAGTTTCCATCAGAAACCATCTAGTGAAGAAGATTTCATTTAGTGATATCAAACGCAAGCGTGTTACAGATGTACGGTACTGATCTCAATGATCGAAGCTATAGATAGTCATTTCCACCCCCTTTTATTCTCGAAGCATCAATGATAAGCTGGAACGTATTCTTGTTTAACGAGCTGATACATTATAATCGTATTCGTATCACGTACACTTGTGTTAAACTAGCATCTAAAATGTATTATGTGAGGTTTTACTAAAGGTAGACTTCATACAATTAGTTCTCTTTGTAAACAGATCAAAAAAGAGAAATTCGACAGCGAATTGTAGTTCCTTGGTTTCTTTTCATTCACGTAATTTGTATTTAGGATCATTAATAAGGGGGAAAAGTTGCTGATTGACAAGAGAAAACGTGAACAGAAGCTGAGAATTAAGGTGCTTTATCATAAGTGAATTAGTTTTTACTGAGCTTTAATGTTGTTTTAAAGAAATTGAATGTGTATTTAGAAGTAACTGTCACTGACTTACTTTATAAAATTCTTTCTTCTCATGCATATGAATACAGCAAGGCGAACTAGCGTGTATATATTTCGTGAATTCTCCTCAGCTACTTTGCAACCTATAGGATATAATGTTTAGCAGAAAAAAAACTGTTATGCAACATACTCTTATCAATCAATAAGAATGTTTCGATTGAGGTGGTAGGTAACAAAGATTTTGGTTGGCTGGGATTGATAAGGTTGCTAATACTATTCAAAAGTTAACTATTTTTACAGTGAGAGAATGAACATTCTACAGAAAGTATAAAAAAAGTATAAATTGGAGAGACTGTGCAGAATATTATTCTACAGTTAGTAAATATGACATCATGATTAAGTAAGCTTAGTATAAGGTTAACAAGTTATGATTATGTTGAGACATAGGACGAATACAACCCAGAAAGTGTGAATGGGTTTTCAAATAGATTAAAAAATAAAGTAGAAAAACAGGATGACGATGTCATGAAATTCTATTTATCAATTAAGGAGATTAAAATTAACAAGACCAAGCGAGATCGGCGACTGTATCTTTCTGAATACAGGCTTGAGTCTTTTGATCTCAACTACTTCAGTAAACAACCAAAGTATGGGTTTCGATTGTTTATTGATCACTTCGGACGACTTTATGCCTAGTATCAAATAAGTACCAAGTGATTGCTCTAACTTAACTCTATGAACCACTAAGACTCAAATTCTTCGGGATATATTGAGAAATACAAACAAGGACCTTTCTCTCTGTTCTTCAAAAGGATATGCTGTGACACGTTCATCTGAATTGTTAGATACAGTTGAAGGTAACAGGAGATGGGAACTTATCCATTTTAAATTGTCTCAATGATAATTCAGTCTAATACACACAGTTTAACTCATAGTCTAGATAGGCCTTTTTCAGTTCAACGCTAAGTTTAGGGTTTATTCGTGTGGCGATTTCATCCCGTTTGTATACAACGTTAAGCAGATAAGCCACCTATAAACTGTGCTGCACTTCATTGCCTTCGCTTCTGTCTTCTCGTATTTGTCCGTCAATTTAAGTGGACAACTATTTTCGCGCTAAGGGTGTTCAACAAATGTAATTTCTTTCTCAGTTTTCTCTACAGAGCATAGTTTACGCACAATATGGTTGGGAAATATTCTCGTCAGAAAGTTTTTATGAGTGAGTGGGCAAAAGCTGTTCAAATTTAAATAAATAAAGTTATATAATAAGCCATCAAGACATACTGTCGACGAACAAACCACAATTGAAGATCAGTCAAAACAAAACAGAGCATCGGAAGACTAATGTCAACCTCATAACGTAAATTCGAAAGTTCTAATTATAAGTGCCTAAAGGCATTAGCAGTTGCATAGTCAAATATAACAATGTCAGGGACTTGAAATGATATGGGTAAGAAAAATACAATGAACAAAAAGTTAAATGCCTAACACAAAGTAGCTGGAAATAATATCGAGAAGTTAACGTACTTCACTGAAAAACGGAAAACACCCGTCAGCAGTTAGGGCAAACAGATGTATTCGTAACATACTGGTAAATCATAACAACAAAATAAAGGAAAGCTAACAAACGTTAACAAATTATCACAAGTATACAACCAGTTCAACTGAAGTTTCTCAAATAGAAGCAATAGGCATAGCAACCAAAATATTCAAGGACTTAACATCATAAGATAAAGTAAGTCATTCATTCGGTCGATAGGTAGGTCGTTACAACATTCTGAATCGAGTTTGGCTGCTTGAAAAGTCTATATGAATATATCTGACGGAGGAAAAGATGATACAAGTGAAGTGAGAGTGAAAGGATGAAAATCTAAATTTAATAGGGGATGAGGTAATCAAGCAATGTTACCAAGGTAAGCAGAAGTCTACAGCTTCTTTTTGAGCATAAAATTTAGGCTTAAGGTGTTCGGTAGATGGACATAACCTAATTGAACTCGTGTGTTTGCTGATTATCTTGGAAGAAGTGAAGACGTCTGCCTAGATGTCCAGTATCAATAAGATGTCAGATAGTTGCAATGCTCAGCGTTAATTTCCTCTAGTTATTGCCTGTTCCGAATGTGTTCAGAAAACCTGAGGTGGACCCTTGTTTTTGTTCTTTTAGTGTATCTTCCTTGGCGGCCGCAGGTAAGTTGATACAAACGAATGGAGGCAACATGGAAAGAGTACTTTTCAAATTTGACTGGACTGCTAAGCATATTTTGTGGTACAGAGAGGATAGACCGTTAGGAGAGAGACCATTGGTAAGGGATATCTTTTTAGGATTTGTCCTGGTGCGAACTTGACAGACGCAAAGACCAATCACTAATTATTCGAACTTGTTATATACCCACGAATACGAGACCAAGGAAGAACACGATAGCGTAATCGGATGGAATAGTATATTTGGATGGTTGTGCCAAAATACCGATGCGTTCCAACTAACTGGCTAGAGAGTCGAATACGAGCAGTGCAACGTAACACGACGGCGTGCCAAATGGCGAGGATGCTTGACCGGATGCCTTCAGCTTAGCGAGTCCAATTAAACTATCAAGGTTAGAGTCAATGTCGAAAGTCGTCAAACCCTAGGCTATTGATTTTGGGGAAGTGTGTGACGCTACATCTTAAATCTCCTGTTGATAGTTCGTAGAATGTGATCGACTTTGTAATCGAGATGCATTAACATAGTCCATTTTCTAACTGCTGTTTTCTTTCGAATTTTGCTTACCGCTTCTACACATTTCAGTGTCATCTTTCAAAGTGAGAAGAAGAAGACTTATAAACTATCCTGAAGCTATAAGCAAATCGCTTTGGCTTTGCTTCCAGTTGCTGGCGGTTTGCTGTGCGCCATTATTTTCGCTCCAGGATTCACCCTGCGTTTTTCTGAGTAACCGGCGCACAAGCTTGGACTAGGTTCATCAAAACGAGCGTTCTTAGTTGCCTACTCTTATGTGAGTCAGTTACCACAGACCACATCAAACAACATGTTCAAAAAATAGCACTCAGACACGATTTCAAAAATGCAGCCAACTTTTAACACCGAATCGAAAAACAGCATCTCATCGACTGACAAATTGCAAAGCATAGGCGTTATTGTATACCATGAGATTCCTCGAATTCAGTTCTGGGAGTTGTTCTTGTGCGAACTTGACAGACGCAGAGGCCAATCACCAATTATTCGAACTTGTAATATACCCACTAATATCAGATCAAGAAAGAACTCAATGGCATAGTCGGACAGAATAGCAAATTTGCAGTGTCGCGCCAAGATACCGATGCGTTTCGACTAGCTGACTAGAGGGTGATTACGAGCAGTGCAATGTAACATGACAGCATGCCAAACGGTAGGGATGCTTGAGCGTGTGCCGTCAGCTTTGGCGAGTCTGGTAAAACTGTGAAGACCAACATGAATGTTGGACCTCATTGAACCCCCGGCTCTTGATTTTGGGAAATATGTGGCTCTATACAATCAAGCTTTCTGGGTCCTGGCCCCTTCACAACCAATGCTTTTGTTCCGGGTATTCTAGAAAATGTGTTTGATGATACTTCAATATATCAAATCGGTTTTAGGGATAAAACCAATTGTGATTTTCACTTGAGAGTGCCTGAAAATATCTGAGACGGTTGGGAATATACATTAACCATCGCTGCTTCTGCATAGTTTGACATTGCAACACATTTGTCGTCCTCTCAATGCCGATTTTACTTTCTGCATGATTTGATACCCACCGTGTGTTTGTTTTCAGTATTGTTCCACATGTGTGCATTCATCAGTACACTTCACTTAAATATAGGGACCTGCTTTCCACCATTAGTTTTCTCCCAATTATAGCCCAATTCTAAATAGTCGATTTCATTTGTTCATTGTTGCAAGTCCTTGTCAAACTATAGCTTGTTGCTTCATTCCCTGTGCCAGGAACTGGTTTTATAATTATGCGTCACACATTTGTCGTGGTTTTTCATGCTGAAATCAGACCTTACGTTCTGCCTGGTTTCTAGGCCCGAGGATTTTGACGTGCTATGAAACTGGCTTTCTGATAAATATTTTTTAGACGGTTGTAACTTATGTATTTGTGGCCGTGTTACTGAGCAGAGTTTCTTCACAAAAGTATATCTGTCACTGTAGAGGAAAAATGATCTGAAAAACCCTCCTCATCATCCTGTTTGGCAGTATTAACGTTTGTTTGAATATTTTTACCCCGTTTTTGGTAGTGTGCCTTTCACCCTAGCCGGCGTAATATTATTTGGTTGTTTGGCAGTCTTCCTTGACTGCACTCAACACCTGCCTTTGTATGACTGAGACTTATCATGAATGTTTCACTTTCCTATCACATAACGCTGGACTGGTGACAACGTGACGTTGTTTTACTGAGCCCGGCATGTTGTTTTGGTTCAACTTACCGTTGTGCCGCAGTTTGACTGTTTATCTTTTGACTATCTACTAGAAACATTTATTTGTTGATTTGATTCTGGTGGACAGAGTTTTGATACCTTTGTCGGGAATATTCTTATTGACTCTTGGGTACTTAAGAATTGTATTTATTTAACCAGTTTTTGCTGTATGGTATGCATTTATGTTCGAGAACTTTTGGACTGTATGGTTACCCAACGGCATTGTTGGGTATTTTTATAATTTTGATAAAACTTATTGTTGCTTTGATAGTACCACAGATTTTATTACGAACCTACCAATGATTTACTACAAAAAGTGTTTTGATATTTTGAGCCAACCTTTGACGGTACGTCACTCGCAGAATTTCGGAAGCTATACAGTAGAACTCCGGAACTAGTCAGATTTGCGTTAGTTGGCACCGGCTAGTTATTTCCCGCATTCAGGCCAAGATTATTGGATCTTGGCTGTTACGCTCACTTCCTTGACCCTTTCTTTGTCATCTGAAATGAATGGGCAGTGATCATACTCTTATTCAGTCATAGATGCGGAAGAAGGGAACAGGCCCATTTCTCGGGAGTGAGGGAGTGTTTTCGAAGTCGTTCCGTACGCAAATAAACGTATAATCTTGGCTAAATGCACCGGGCTAAGGAGCGCAACAAGTATACAGAGCCGTGATAGCTGTTGTCCCAGAAACGTGGGACTCGTCTGAAGTCGTATATAGTGAAACAAAATTATGAAGATCCACCCTTTTTCTAAGTGACAGTAGTAATGTTTTATACTTCTTACGACATAAGCCACATGGAAGTAAACCAGTTTAGAGGTTTGATCATTTTAGTAGTGTGAACTGCCTGTTATATACGATATCAGGAAATACGTGATGCGCCGCAATTCAGGAGTTTAAAGAAAGAATGCAATGCTTCTCAGACGACATAGAGTAAAACAGATGAACACGAACATGATTGTTCTGGAGATTGGAGCTAGCTGAGTTTGAAATTAGGAATCATTCGGCCGTTGTTTGAACCGTCGAGTATCCTTGAAGGCAGGGCCGGTAGTGCAGCCGTGAAAGTGTATTGTGTGCATTCGGCATAAAGTCATGATAGCATGGTGCACACTGACGAATGAGATTACTAGGATTCCGTATTGATGAAGAACCGGTGAGGTAGGCCTGAAAAGTGATAGATTAGAATACAGAGGTGGTTGTGCCGTCCTGTACCTGAAAAACACCCTAACTGTGTGAAACATGGGAGCGGTTGAACACGAAATCAGGATATGACCGGCTGGAAACCAGGAATCAGACCTAACTTCAATCAAAGTACGTCATAGTCTCAAATATGTTACGGAAAACTCACTGAACAGGCTGACTCTGAAGAAATTAATGTAGGAGCATAGTGGTACGACACTTCAAAGCATCATCGGTCTACCGGGTAAGCCTAACAAAGTATCATCAGTTAATTCGTTCAATCATAGGCTGATTGAAGCACCAGTTCCCTTGACTGTTATACAGCATGTCAGAGAAGTGACCCGATGCAATCATCAGCATGCCCCACCAGTATTAGACAACATCCTCCCACGGAAATGATGTAATTCTCCCCCAACATATTGCGCTCCTTGATAAAATGGATCACAATTGACCATCTTCAGGCTCACAGCGGCTATCTTGTGCCATACTAACCTCTTATCTAGGCCGAATATAGTGAAGGCCAAGAAGGCGGGTATGAGTTGGGTGACACTTCTGAGGACTGGACAACCAGTTCGGAAGCCACAGTTGGAGCTGCATAGTTCTCTTTCAAAACGGTTTTACTCATGGGTGACTCAACCCTTTGTTGCACAAACTGTTTCAAAGGGATGAAAACACTCCTTCGTGACCCATGAAATGTGCGGTTTACCACGATGGGGGAAAAGTTATAGGGTCTTTTCACTAACCTTGGCACTCCCAGTGCGAGAAGTATAACGTAGAAATGTACAATAAGCGTTTCTCCACCGTCAGTCGTTCACAGACGTGCTTGGAAATGCGCCTCGTTCTGGTCTCAGTAGGTCATCTGAAGGGTTTATTTCCTTACGTGAATTACAGGACCGAAAAGTATCGAGGTATGCCAAACCCAATTGAAGAGACAGCAACTAATGAGTCGGTTGGAGACATTATGAAAGGAGCAGTGGTTTTGCTAGGATATTATACCTATGCCTTTAAACTGAAGCGCTTGATGGACAGGACGTCAACAACCGAAGTGTTGACATTCAATAGAATAAGCTCTGTGAATATCGACTCTAATGATGTGTCGGGAAAATTAAACTCCGTGAATACTGCACCCAGAACTGCTCAGAGGGCCTACAGACTATGTGGCTGGGCCAGTTTATCATAATTAGACAGCTGAGGTACAACTTAAAATAAATGGAAGGACGCCACAGTCATGCTGACCCGAAAGGCTAGTTGGTTTGATCAGTACTGTGATAAAAGCCCTAGGGCTAGTGATAAAGAAAGTTTTAATGGTCCGACTAGAGATCAGTCTTCCATTGTCTCGTTTGTAATATATTTCTCGGGGCCATTCCTCTTCCTTACGGGGGGAGACAGGTAGGTCAACTTCGAGGATAATAAGATACCTCAAGATGTCATTTCCATAGATTTTGGTAAGGCATTCGATGAACTACCTCAATCCTGGTTGCCAGCGTGACTGGTAGGTTTTAGCATTATTGTCGACGAACTTGCATGGACAGGACGGTTTCTTGTCGGTTGGAGACAAAAAGAGGCGACCGGTTAACTAATCTCTTCTTGAAGGTCGGTGTAAGTCGGAGTGCCACAAGATACTGACCTTGTCCCGTTACTATTTCTCCTGTATGTGCGTGGGCTGTTGAATCTCAAGAAATTACCCATATTTCACTACGGTGGTGCAAAAATTTGGTAAGAAGCTGGGAATATCGAAGATGTTCGCACATTTCAGAAATACTTGGAGGTGCGGCTAACTTGGTCCGTATGTGCATAGGGTATGCCAAACACAATAGCTGGGATGCAAGACAAATTCCTCTAAACTCATTGTTAACCCAGATACGCATAAGAATCACAGTAAGTCACGGTTTGAAGACCATATCACTCTGTAGATTGGTCGCAGTCCGATGTTTATGGACAGACAGGGCATCACCGAAAAGGTTAAAAAAGCAAGCTGTGCGTTCGCTGCTGTATTTAGATTTCAAACAAAGGCAGTGCAAATTGACAAATTCGAGTCCAAATGGTGTCTAAGACACTAGGAAACAGTTCTTAGGGTCTAACTCAACAGTCTCAGAGGCCAGTAGCATCGGTGAAACACCCATGAATGCGAAACCAAAAAGGGCACGTTAAGGTGGCCAAGCATGAGTTGTATTTTCGATAGACCGTGGCAAAATATAAGTGCGTTACTAGTAACTGGCTGGAAGATTGCGTGCGGGTGGCGCAACGTTGCCCGACAACGTGCCAGATAACGTGAATTCTCGGTCGTATGTCTTCAAACTGGCCAATCCGCTGAGGTTATTAAGGTCATTATGAATGTTGAATCTCGTCGAGCCAAACGCTATTGATTTAGGGGAATTATCTGCTGTTAATGAGTCATCAGTCAAATCATTCAAAGATGAGGACGGGACAAGCTTAGGGACATACTGAAAAAGGGTTGGAAAAGGACCATAACCCTTCATAACCAAACTGAAAATATGAATCTGAACCCGAAATCACATTTGAATGGAGTATCGATGCCCCTACAGAGTTATCAAGTAATTAAAATTGGTACTACAAGAAGTAGTAGAGAGTCTTTCCGTGATCGAACTTGATAAGAGACTTGATCCTCACATTGAAAATGCCACACGGATAAACACGGACTAAAAACCAGCTATCTTATTCATTGAAGGTTATTTTACCGCACGCGCGTCAATAAAAAGTAACGTTACTTTTAGGCATGATCTGTAAGGGTTTGTTTTTTGTTTGTTGTTCAATCATTCCTTTGGTTTACTAATGTTATATAAAGTTTCAAGTACATAGTGCACACTAATACGCTTACAAACAACAAAGAATATCGGTGAATCTAGCCGCTGAACGACAGCATTCTGCTGACTCCGACACCCTTAAGTTTTTTCCTCATTACACCTCTAATATGAATGTTCAGAAAATATTTGTGACTTATGTTTGAGCCGTCAATGATGACGATTCAAATCAACGGTTTAGTGACCGTACGGTAGTTCCTGAAGAAAAGCAATGTTGTCATGTGGAGTAAACTCCCGAATATATTCGGGATTATTGATTCCAGTCAGGCCTGATTGCCCTGGATGAAGGACAGAAAGAAGCAGGATTCTGGCTAGAATAAAGGCCTTTGTCAAAGTGACGCGATTGAAATCAAAAATGGGCTTTTGATTAGTCAGATAATGGATGAAAGATCTCCTAAGACCTATGTGGATTAGTCAAATAAAATAACCGTGAAAGTCTGTTGCATCACCTTTGTGGCTTTTAGAACTGACTCGATGAGTTAGGAATTCTTTTAAATTAAGGCTGTTTGCGAGACGTGTTTCGTGACTCATCTAGATATAACACCAGATGTGACACATCAGTATGCAACCCACTTGATTGCAACAAACGTTAAGAGCGCAAAGGTGATGATTCTGTGTATTATTTGAGGCGTGAGCTTCGGTCACTGTACACTACTCTTGCATCATATTATAGCGCGACTCATGAAGTTGTTATCTACGAAGTCTCCCTACCGGGTTGTGCAACTGTTGGCGAAACCTATTGGAGTCCATCGTATCAGGCTGGTGACTTTAAACTATAGTATATGAGCGCTTAAAGCCAGAGTTGCTGTTTCATAGTGGAAAGTCTAAACACACCTAGTGTAAGTGGGTTGAAGTTGGCCACAATAGAGTGGCTTAGTATATCTGATACTAGGTTACTTTTCTTTCATTCATCGTTTTTTACACCACCATGCGTATTGGTGAATGTCAAAAAATTTCCTTATTATATCTATTGCTGGCATATAAAGTGGGTGTCATATCCAATTTGCATATAAGTTCTCCGTGTCTTGACTTTCCATTATATCTAAGTCAGTAAAAGTCACCTACTTATATGTAGGATACCGTTGTCAGTCGTCTATAAAAGTGGACATCGGCATCTAGTGGCTAGCTATAGCCTAGTTGGTCTGACTAGTTTAGCTATCAGTATTTTGCTTGTTTGTAGGGTGTGGTTTGTAGATTAGCAGTATTCGACAAAAGGTCAATAAATCAGTGTAGAGCTTTGCACAGAAGTTCATCTATTTGGGTTAACACACTTCACAGTAGCCTACTAGAAAGCAGTGGATAGATTGAAAAATGATATTAATGTTAACAAAATGATTGAAGAGGATAGTACGATAAATGAGGGTTAGTTAGTCCATAAAGTTTCTGAAATGACAAGTACTATGCATCTGCGCTACTGTGAATTAGTTTGCACCATATTGCCAAGGGTTTCTTGGGATTGGATCTTGTCATCAAAATGACTTAAGTCTGTCACCCTGCATACTTCACACCCTAAACCGAACAATATGAAACATCATGGATTAATACTGTTGGTCTGTTCATCATTAATTTCCTAGCAACTTGCCCTTCCTCCGGCTAACATCATATGTTAAGGTAGTCACTGGCTTATCATGTGCAACACGTGTTTCAGCTACTTCAGTTGATGCAGTACCGTTCTCATCTGTTGATTTATGTTCTCTACTCAGTGATCTACATGTACCATCTACGTAAGTCTTATGTTGGGTCCACTGTATGCATAATGCTACGGAGATATCTATGATCACAAAAATGCCACTGCATTTATTTTACTTTTAACGGTCATGTGTAACAGCTGTACTGTCGGAAAAACGGGTTATTACATGATGTACTGATGCTTTGTTGCATATCTGAAATGCCTTAAATGATTTAAATCGGCAAATGTTAACCAGACCCTTTTTATCCGAGAAAAGATTTCGTCAGCAACCAGCCACTGTCGTGATGTAGTTTTTTGGTAGTGTGGAAGATATCTTGGTCTGCTGCTTATGCTGAAATATTAAAGTTGAGAGCTGTTTCTGTTTATCAGTTAGTATTTCCATGACTTTGATTTGATATGCCTAGACTCAACAGCAAGCAACTTGGGGTTACAAAAAGCTATCAATGGCATGAGTGCTAACGAACATAACCCTAGGTATCTCCGACTTCGAAAGTATTGATCTAACCCCAGGAAGGCACGTGGTTGACTTGGAGTGCGCAAACGTCATTGCCCTGTTGGGTGAAGCCAATGACTAAATGCACAGTCTTCTAAGCACCTTAGACAGAAGCGTGAGTGTTAGTTGTCAGATGATACTTCAAAACTGGTCAGGAGCTATTTCCATTTTGAGGACAGAGTATAAGGTGGTAGAATGAGTCGACCACTTCATCCGAATGGATTAGTTATTTGTAAGATCCTAGTATGGACACAGAAGGGGTGTTCGGTATCCCCAAACTCACGGAATCTCTGGGACCAGCAGGATATGCAATTACGTGTTAAAAGACGAGTAGTGCCTTGCAGTTTGCTGTTGTGTTACATGGGTGTAAGACATGGTCGTTGAAATTAGCTCTCAATAAATTTCAGGTTTCCGGAAATCGAATCTTAATGCTGTCAACGACAATGTGCACACTTCCCGTACGCAATGAGCCGCATCTTTTGTATGAGAACTAATCATGCTACCTGGTTGCCCAAACCCTAGTGTGTGAAACGGCGTTCGAACCAATGACTCAGTGGTTGAGTGTTTAACCCACAGGTATCTTCGTACTTTCGCCCGTATACGGCGAGGTCACCGTTTGAGCGATTTTGAGGTTAGGTACTAAGCAAACAAGGCAAGTCAGTCGATAAACTAGTGGTACGGATATGTTCCACATGGTGAACTACTTACTGCTTACCTTGACGTGCAATTTTAACAGAAGTAGGACTAGGTTGGGAAAAGGCTTAGGATGACCAAACCCGAATGTGGCACCAGTTCACGAATTCTGTGACCGGTAACCTGGGATTTGTAAGGCTGTGTCGTCTGCCTGGCAGGGGTCCGGGGTATAGTAGGAATCGATGGTGGGAGGCTACTGGTAGAGTGACTGAAAATCGCTTACAAGAACGCATATGTGTCCGGTCTCGAACACCTTCGGATGTTTCAACATTCTCACTAAACTTCGTTTGTTTACAAATTGTGGAGCTACTGCTCACGTATCTAGGGTCTTATTGTGGTGAAGTTGAAGGAATCAGGCTTCACACACTATTTTTATGTGTATAAAAATGAAGTTGGAGGTAGCTGATCAAGTAATTAGTGGGTTGAGTAAAGTTCATGATTGTGTGAACACATTCATTATCTTCATCATGCAATAATAATAATATCGCATGTGGACGTATCGGAAATGGTTAGAACTGCATGACTCAGACACGTATAACGGAATTGGTAGATACTGTAAGTCTATATAAAGACACTAGTCGGCATTGTTGCCTGACCAGTGGTATACAGGTGCTTCAGGACCCGAAAGGATCTGTACAAACCTACTTTTCCCACTGATAGCTGCTGTGGATTCTCCACTGCCATAATGAATAGATTTCAAACAAAAGCCGCGATGAATGCTTCCCTACGACAGCTTCTGATTTAAGCGTTTGGATGGCATATCATCCGCAGGCATCGTGAAATAATTGTATAGTGAAGATTTTAGAGCATACACCTAACTCAACGATAGTAAAGTCTATGTATTTCTACTTCGATGTTCTTCCGCTACTTACTGAATAGCAAGGAACTTACGTTATGTGATCAGATGCATCCAAACGTCAGTGGTCATTTGCACCAACTTTCTATGTTAACTGCGACACGTTTCACAATGGTGAGAGTTGATCTTTTCGCAAGTTCACATAGTTGTGACTCGGCTTAAGCTTTCTGGACAAATGTAGGCATCCTATTTTCCGTTATCAAAGTTGCCAATTTCGGCAAATGTACGCCTGAGTGGCCTTGGCTTAAGTATTTATCTCAGCCAGTGGTTCACGATTAGAAATCCCTCTTTGCTTATTTTACCCCCAACAAACTGGGTTGTATCATAAGTTCTTAACAGGATTAGCGTGTCTCACAGCCTAGTATATTAAAAACTTGTACCGGGTAGAATTACATTATTGTTAGCTGTTTCAAAATTAATCTGATGTTTATCTTTTTTGGTTATTAGGTATCTTTTCGTTCTGCGTGTATTCATTCACTACTATTTCCTGTTTTTTGCCATATCTAATGTTTTATAATCGAATAGTTAGAAGCGACATACTTAAACACCGTTTCTAGTTGTCTGCTGGTTGGATAGAGGTAATCGACAAGATAGGATAAACTTGTTAGTGATCACTGGTTTGTAGTCGGCTAGTCCACCTAATCACATTATTGGTAAGAGTTATTGTGTACTGGGAACTATTGTGAGGTCGTTAAACAGTGTTAGTTTGGATCACAAAAAGATCATATATTTTTTTAAAGTTGGGAGACTTACTTTACTTGTTAGTTTCGAACTCATAAAATCTAGTTTTCACATCTACTGATGTTTCCATTCCAACTACAGTTTGTCACAGCTTTGAGCCACTTGACTAATTAACTGATATGTCATAGTCAACACTGAGCATTCCAGTTTGGTTGCTTTTGTGAGCAACTATACACTTAGATGGTTATTAAATCATACTATCTAATCAAACGTACTGAACGCGAATATGAATACATCATTGTCTATTGTCAAGCCTTGGTGACTGGCAACGAAATCCATGATGACTACTATTTTTCAATTTTTTTTTACGTCATTTCAACCCACAGCTATCAAAAGTGATGGGAGCACTTTGAATTAATCACATGTACCTACCATCTTGTGTTCAGAAAATAAGGAATATGACTCTACATCTACTTTGTACTATTTAGCATATTAAAATGATTAGTGAATGAGATGTCCTCTAAATTAAAGGAGTAAAACTGTAGCACTATGATAGATTGTTGTTCCATTTTAGGTTGTTTATTGGCTTTCTCACACAGTAAAATCGTGTTATTTACTGGATAACTTCGGACATAATTCATTGTCCCTGTTCATATCAATTGCACAACTTTTACACATGGTTTATATAATTGTAACTCTCCTTTGCAACGCGGATAGTAGAATTTTCCATACATCTTGAACATGTACAGAACCATTTCTATCGCATGTATTTGATGTTGACTCGGTAAACAAAGATTCGGTTATCATTTAATTTCTTCTTCCACCCAAGTTCTTAATACTGTCGTTTTATGTCACCCTATTGTGTTTTTGTGTGATATCGCGTGGATAGCTGTAGCCTAGCTTTTCTCTAGATTCCTTATCGTATAAGGATCTACCAGTCTTGAATTAGCTAAGATTTTGTGCTCGGACAGTCTAATTGACTGTTATTGACTACTTTGACCTCACAATCGTTGCAAGGGATTCGATCACGAATTCATGGGGTAGTCAGGCAAAATCCTTGGTGATTGAAGTAAAATAAAAATCTCGTCAGCAGCCGAACATCGTAGCTCAGTTAGTAGAGCACCGGACCGCAAATTCGTTGGTCGCTGGTTCGAATCCGGCCGTAGTCCGAATGTTCATTTCGCCTTCAATCATCACCTAGCATCATTACTAGTCTATCAAACCACAGGTATCTCAGATAATCAAAATCATAAATAATGATATTACTGTAAGTCGTGTTATTTGTTATGCGATTGTAGAGAAATTATAAAATGATATCATCTGACAGTACTTTTCTCGATGCTTGGTTTACATTCATCAAAGGGATTAACTTTTTTAAGTGACTGCACGTTTACCTTACTGAATCTTTATTTACAATAAGAGATTTAATAATGGTATTCTTTTAACCTAACTTTCTAAAATTTCAGATATTTTCTTTACTAAATTCATAATGGACTGTTCGTGATTTGTTTGCTCATTAAAAGAAAAGATGGTTAAAACTAAAGGTAAATTTAACGATAATCATCATAACTATTTTCCCCGAAAGCACGAAAATCTACCAGTCGTCATAAGAAGTATCAAGAAGTGATACAGTCACGCATAGTCAACAAAACTCCTGTTCAGTATACTCGTCGGTTAAAAACAAAAAAGCATAAAAAATTGAAAGAGATTTTTTCAAATATCCCAAATTTAAGTATGTTCGTTCCATGATAATCTGAGTATACTGTTACATCCAGAAATTTACAATCGTCCACCTCCAACTAATGAAGATGACTATGTTCCTGCAAGTTTTAAACAGATGTTACTTATGAAAGAGGGAAAATGGAAACCACTTCTTGATCCAGGTATATACTTACACTTACTGTGGATACATATACATATCTTACCATGAATTTATAGCTGTTGGTGATACAAAGGGTTCGAAGAAGAAAGACAATCCTGTACGTGTCCCAAAACAAGGCAAATATGAATCGGATGCTCATTTTTTGGGACGAGTACATAGAGAAGTAGAAGATGAATTGCATAAAGTGGAATTTTCCAAGAAACAACGGGTATGCATAAAATAATATTTGTGTCTATGAGCACATTTATTTTAAACATTTAGACGGAGTTAATTACTACAGAAGTTAAAAAAAGTAGGAAGAAACGCAAAGCAGTAAAGTAAGATTTTATATTCTTGACTTTTTATAATAAATTTCAAGGCGTTTAAATGAAAAACAGAAAGTCAAACGTTTGTATGCTATTGAAAAACGTCTTACAGGTTTTGAACACTTAAAAGGTTTGTGTTTCTATCCCCCCTTTTTTTTGTAACACTTAATACTTATTACAGATGAGGTGAAATTCAATGAAGTGGTTACTGCGCCTCCTGAAAATTTGACGAGACCGAAAATGGTATTTGGTAAAAAGTTGAATCAAATACACAGTTTAGACAGGTTAGTTGGTCGTATTCTACTATGTGTATACTTAAATATTGATGTGCTGAGCATATTCCACTTATGAACACTATTTTTTGAAATTTTAGTTGAATTATGTACTTACCTATTGAATATTACATATATACATATATAAGTTTGTTAATTCCACTCAAATTGTTCTTGTAATTTGGGTGGAATTTAAATGAAGTCGAAACTTTCAACGAACAGATTATGATAAGTAAGTCAATCGGTTCCCTACAAATTGTGGTGGAACTGCAAACAAACAGACGAACAAACAAACAAAATCAGCCTAGAACCTCACACTAAAATGCATCTTTTCAAATTGCCACACTTCACAGTAGCGTGGAACGAACATGTGAATAGAAAAAGATTGATATTAAAGTTGACAAAGAGGTAAGAAAAAAAAGGGAATCTGAGAACCTAGGTGAGTAGAAATACTCAAATTTTTGGCGTCAGAAAGTGAGTACACCTGCACTATTGTGGACAATTTTCAGTCATGTCATCAAAACTGCAACTATTGATTCCTATGGTCTCTGGAGCTTAAGTCAAGTAGTTTACACCTCCATACACAGCTCAGATCAACAGTCAGAGACTTCATTGACTAGTGCCACATCTTGGTCTAACCGCCCTCGGCATTCTAATTTAGTCCACCTTCCATTATTGAACGGTAAGGTAGGAACTCGGCATACGTAACACACGTCGAAGCCACCTCAGTCGCTGAAGGTTCATAACCTCATCGATTGAGCTTCCTGCCTTGCCTTACCTTCAATTTCCGCACATAGTGACCTCACTATACGTGACCAAAACTACGTAGACATGAACGGTAAAAACCTGTAGCGTCTTCATGCTTCATGTGTCCCATAGCTGTATAGTAGGACATAACGTTATGCAATGGTGTATACTCGTCCTTTAATAGGTAGTCGGATATCCCGCCGGTGGATTTCAGAGATGACTCAGGTTAGCAAAGGCCAAATGGGCCTTGTGTTTTTTAAATTTCGTAGGCAACCAGCTTGTTCTTGCTGATGCAACTTTCCAGGCGAGTGAAGTGCTAGATACATCCCGTCACTTCATTTCCTGTCATTAAACTGGAAGTACTTGTAGACGTTTGACAATGTTCACAGAGCGAGAAATTGAGGAAGTTTTAAGAGGCTTGATCGTGGTATCAGGGGGTGAAGGCAAACGGGGATAAGTTATATTCGATCGGATTTTGTAAACTACTGGAAGCGTGGATATGGTTGACGCTTCTCGGCTGCACGCACTTTGGAAGTCGTTTCTGCAGAATACCTTTAAGACAAAGATTTATTTGGCCCCAGAGCCAATGGAACATCTGCTTGAGGCCTGTCACATAGCCATTTGAAGATTGTCGTTTGAGACTTGGTTGTTCCAACGCCAGACAGGAAAAACTCATACTGCTGTAGTGGAAGACAGCACGATAGGAAGGAGTGTGCTACTCTTGAGACCAACTTTTTCTAACCTGTCCTCTTCTTACTGGAAAGGCAGCATCTCCTTGGTTCTGTTTTGGTCTTCTGCAGGAAACATCTTACTGCTGTCATATCATGTCCGGCTAGCAGTACGACTTTTTCTCCATAACGTAGAAATTTACTCCCTAATAGTAGCTGCTGTTTGTTTTACCAACGGACTTTTCTGACATGGTAGGTCCTCGTGGGGATAAGTGTCCCAATCAGTGTAACTCGTTAGGTCATTTTGATGATTTACAAGCTTGACCACGGCGTCAAAGTTGTAGTTATTGGTCGGGAAGTGGATTACAGTGCAGAACCTTACACAAGAACTGGAATACTGATAGGAAATGAGCAAATAACGAATAGTAAGTTTGTGGTAGTCAAGAGCAGTAATAAATTTTTAAGCCAACAACTGAGTCTAAAGATCTTGAGGGGGATCCATCAGACTTCGTGGATTGGTTTCGTGTTTTGATCTGACCATCATAATGTTTTCAAACTCATTCTATTCTAAAGGAGAACAATGAAACAAAAGATGGGAACTGTTAAAAATGTATAGTTTATAATCATTGGAGGTATTTTGATTCACCAGATTTCGTGATACACTTGTATACATGATGTATTCCTACATGAGATCAGTTGTGACTTGTGTATGGTGTAGCGATAAAGTGTCGTAATTCAACATGGTCATGATGGTTTGAATCTGTAAGAAAATATGAGGTCATTCGGTGCTATAGAAAGACCTTGGCGATGAGTTCCAGAAAACACAAAACTTTGAACTCACTACAAATTGACTTGCAATATCAAGCAAAAAATGCTAGAGAATTCTTATCACTGAGCTTCTTAAACGAAATTTGATTATACTGCTTAAATATTTACATTTGAATAAAACATGTTAAGTTATTTGTTGGGTGGTAGACTACACTTTCTATAGCTATTCAATCTACTTTACTGGATTCTTTCAATTCGGAGGTTTGTGGGGATTTATTTATTGTTTTCAGGTTAGTATTTATCATGGATTGATATCAGATGGAGGAACATTGGGAACCTGGGAGGGCTAGAAAGCTGTTTCGTCCTAGTATGGGACTCCTCAACAGTTCACACCCATGACTCCGCCAGGCATCAAACGCAGAACCTTCAGTTTCCCGTGGCCAGGACGTTACTATTAGGGGACTGCATCGGAATCCATTGATTCATATTTTCTAATTCTGTCAGTTCACGACATAGCCCGACCTCCATCAAGTGCCATCGTTGGGTGACTGTCTTTATAGCCCACTTTGTTGATACAACTGGTCACGACTACTCGTTAGAACTTCCCGAATCACTTCTTGAAGGTAGTCATCAGTGAACACTAGATTACTTTAATTTGGAGGTTTGTGGGAATTTATTTACTGATATCCGGTTGTGTATCATGAGCATTGAAACTATGACAGGTAGTTTTACTATCTGCTTCATATATATATATATATATATATATATATATATATATATATATATATTTCCGACCGAATCCAAAGGCTTTTTAAGTTATGAATATATATATATATATATATATATATATATATATATATATATATATATATCATAACGATAGGAAAGATTTGTAAATCCGGATGGGGATGATGCTACTTCAGTGTCCTCTGTGCTTTGACACTTTACCATGACCGTTTCATCACTTGGCTTAGTGATATCTTCCTCGCTAATTTCATAAAGAAGGGAAACGTATCAGAATATTACACAAATGTTTAAATGATGTTTTTATTAACCTCACATGTTGTCCAATTTGTAGTTGGAGAAGGAATTTCTTACCACACACCTTCTATGTTGCAGTGAAATTGTGCTGATAGTTGTTGTCACACTCTGCTTCATAACCGATTTGTCCGGTCAATTTTCCTTAATTAAAGGATGACTTTTTTCTTCATAAGTAGATTGGGTCTATATCCACATGTCTGTTGATTGACATTTAGTCTGAATCGCATGCTTCTAAGAATCCCCTTGCAGCTCTCGAAACTGTTCTCTTGAGGATTTCCATGTTCTATCACAGTCGAATTTGTGATCGTGATTGTCTGTATGCATTGAAACGAAGGAGTCTGCATCATGTCAGTTTATTGCTAGTTGGTGTTCATGAATTCTTTGAGCAATCTTGATGGCTCAACTGTTCAACATAATGCTGTGAACAATTTGGCGACTGATTTTGTAGATTATATCTCTTTTGTCTCCTTCTGGGAATAGATCCTTTGGTTTGCACAACATGTTATGTAGAGATTTCGTTGGTTTCTGTACTACTCTTATTCCTAAAGGACGAAGCAATCGGTTGGCTGTTTGTGAGATATTTTTGTTGTAGTGTAGTCTAACGTGCCTATTGATTTGAGGCAGTTGTCCTGTCTTCTATCCTGCTGATAGACACTTTTTGATAAATTTAGGTGGATAATAATTGAATTTGAACAATTTACATATGTATTTTTCTTTGACTTTCCATAGTGCTGAAGTGCCACAATGTGTTTCGGCTCTTGAGAATAATGTTTGTACACAACATTTATTATGGACTATAGGATGGTTGCTGTTGTATTTCAATATTTGACACGTGCGTATGTGTGTGATTTTCCTGTACACTGAAGCTTGTAAATTCCTATCGTGTGTTCTGCTGATGAGGGCATCTAAAGGCGAAACTTTCCATTCGGCCCCTCCCCCCTCATGAACTGAATTCCTCCAAATGTTTAGCTGGTTAGTCTGAACGTGTTTATCATTACATCTTCCTTGAGAAATATGAATGTGCCGTCGACGTACCAAATCCAAATTCTTGCCTTGATGAAGATAATGATTATTGATTGAAGTCGCTGCATTTTATTGTGAAAAGAAGATAGGACAAATATAATCTACAAAATCAGTCGCCAAATTGTTCACAGCATTATGTTGAACAGTTGAGCCATCAAGATTGCTCAAAGAATTCATGAACACCAACTAGCAATAAACTGACATGATGCAGACTCCTTCGTTTCAATGCATACAGACAATCACGATCACAAATTCGACTGTGATAGAACATGGAAATCCTCAAGAGAACAGTTTCGAGAGCTGCAAGGGGATTCTTAGAAGCATGCGATTCAGACTAAATGTCAATCAACAGACATGTGGATATAGACCCAATCTACTTATGAAGAAAAAAGTCATCCTTTAATTAAGGAAAATTGACCGGACAAATCGGTTATGAAGCAGAGTGTGACAACAACTATCAGCACAATTTCACTGCAACATAGAAGGTGTGTGGTAAGAAATTCCTTCTCCAACTACAAATTGGACAACATGTGAGGTTAATAAAAACATCATTTAAACATTTGTGTAATATTCTGATACGTTTCCCTTCTTTATGAAATTAGCGAGGAAGATATCACTAAGCCAAGTGATGAAACGGTCATGGTAAAGTGTCAAAACACAGAGAACGCTAAAGTATTATCATTCTTATCATGAGCTATACATCTTGAGCATATATTATGCATATTTTGGTAACACTCATTGTGTGTGGCGTTAACTAACTCACTGTTTTCAACTATTCTATTTTACAGGCTGTTAGCAACATGAATGTCGGATATATGTTTTCCTTGTTTATTTCAAGAAAATACAGACCCTTTAAACTATGCCTTATAGATGTTTTTACTTTTTCTGTTCTCATTCTCTCAATTTTACTATTTCGGTAGAAAATTGAAGAATAAAGGTTAAGGAGATTACTATCGTAAAATATGTACATGAAATTGTAACCCATTGCTTTCTTAACTTGTGAAAGATAGCTGATTTAGATGAATGCAGGCGTTTTGTTCAAGGTTAGGAGTCAACTGGTCAGAAGCTGTAAACTTATTTTTCATACTGCTTGGTATTCATCTCTAAGGTGCAGAATTTAGTGGTCTGTTCTGTGGCTTCGGAAATGCATGGTTTATGTTTTAATTTTTATTAGAAATAAAGTTACTTAAAGTCAAGCAAAACCTTTTTTCATTCTACAACAACTAGTGTTATATCACATAGTCTTGTGACCATATTACAAACCTAATCGTTTGTTTCCGACCGAATCCAAAGGCTTTTTAAGTTATGAATATATATATATATATATATATATATATATATATATATATATATATATATATATAATTTCTCTCATTAGTCCCTACGTTTTATTTTGATAAATTAAGATGCTTTTGAAAACATTACTGTAAACAAGTGTACACTCAACTATTCAATTTGAATCTCTGTTTACTCGTTCTTTGGATCAGAAAGACAAAGTTTACATTTTGTTGTCTGTCATCCAAGAGATACGCTTTACTAGTGTCACACTATGTCCTATCAGAAGTGTGTATTCGCCTACGTACCTCCATCATAACGTAGCTACCTACACTTTATCGGTATCTGCATTTCATATTAACAATATCCGATAGACGTTTTTGGCATGGTGCAAACTCAGAGAATATACATTCTAGCCGGGGTAGCTATTTGTGTCACTTTAGTATGCAGCGCTGACTTCCATATCAGGTTAGCGGTTGGTTTTCATAAATATACAGTTCATTTTTTAAAGGAAACGCTGGGAGTTTGCATGCATAGATTGCCTATTTTACTTTTATTAGACAACATCAGACGTACCGTATTGAGATTACTTAAATATCATTGTACCTCTGATGTGCAGGTTGTGAAAGATGTATTCACCTTATGAAGCAGCACATCGTTGCTCTATTTGACGTTTGATCTCGTCTACTATCTACGAAATCCAGTAGTATATTACTAACTGGGAGTGCATATCTAAGGATGTCATACTCATGAAGCTCTTGATAGATGCATCTGAGATTCAAGAAACTTAGTGCCACATTTACGAGCACACATGTCCTGCATTTTAAAAATGAACGGAGTAAATGACTATTTCCCACTGTGAGTTACTGAGAATACCGGTTGATACAGGGAAAATGAAATTGTGCGCTAAATGCTTTGTATATCGTTGGATTCAAGATAGGTCGCGATCAATCGGTAAACTAAGGTTTATAGTTCGATTTCCTCTAATGAATTGAGTTTCATAATCAGTGACTGATCCGGGAGAAATGACTATTAATCACAATGCTAAGGTCAAATCTACCGAAAAGGTGCGAGGAATGTTTGGTATCGTGAAGAGATACAGTTTTGTGCTAGAAAATTAGACGTGTTTGTAAACGTCCACTGACACTGATTACACACGTTCACTACATTCAGGATGGTCGTCTGACAGAAGTGTGTTGTGGGATGGGGAAGGAGAACGAGTGTATAGGATTCTATGAATATCTCCTTTCAACATCTTTGTGTCACTATGCTCAACACTCGACATTTTTATGAAAAATATACTGAGTTCATGTTCATGGAGTAATTAAGTTTGCCAAACTTACTACTCTTCTTCCTTCTCAAATTCCCTATTCATAAACACAGTGCGTAAAGGAGACAAAATTAACATTGCGCATTCTGTGCACTCTTCATGATTTCATTCGCATGTCAACGCGAGGAATGCAATCCATTACTTGGAAATCAGCACAGTGGTCACAGCTTCTGCGTTGAGAACTCATAAGCGTCTATTTAAACAGTTTTTAATAGAATTCCTTCAATATATGGATCCAACTGCCTCTTATCACAAAGCTGACACTACTCATTTGAAAACGTGTTTCCTGGATAAAGTAGACGTCGAAACGATGGAGATTAGTTTTAAGTAGGCGTATCTCTTCGGTATGCTTCACCTAGTGAGACCATATATTCTGACTTATTGGTCACGCTCCTGGCTTCATTACATAGACATCGTACAAGCCTGCCTTGACATATGGGGTGATTGAGACGACGTGAATCCCAAGTATCTATTTCAATGTGATGGTTCGCTACAAGACATTCTCTTCGTTTGGTCTTGTTATCCAGCATCAGTAACTGTTCTCCATCATTTTCTAGTTTATAAATGGCTTCGATTCTTTCTCATACATTCAGTGAAATATGGGACAGAAATGATTCGTGATACATAGCAGACATTTGGATAGTTCTGACAGCAGTGAGATTTGTAGTGAACCCAAAGAAATGTCAAGTAAACCAAAGTGTTAAACTACGTATAGCTTACAAAAATAGATTCACTCATACAGAAATATGAAAAGTTAAGCGTTATAATACAAAATAGTATTATCAGTGTTATCGATAATGATGGGTTACATGAATGTTATCTCTTCGCTGCTGTCCACCAAAACTTAGTATACTCCAAAGTTAGTTCAGAAGAGGATACTTATTGGCTCTCCAGAATCGACGTTGTTTAGCTTGATTGTTGTTAAATTTGGAAGGAGGATAAGAAGTCCTGTAAAATCCAAGGACAATAAATGGGTGTTCACGTTAGACAATGGTCAGTGGAGGCAGAAGTCAGTGGATAGAAGCACACTATATTTCCACGTTCAAAAGCAGAAGTAAAGTCAGTAATACCACCAAAACGAGACATTATTTTTAATTTAAGTGATATATACTTAATTCCTTGGAGTCTCCACAGATTTAACGAATGAGAACATGGAATGTGAAAAAGGTCTTCATGAACTGTGTCACTACTTTGTTATATTTATGAGAAAGACCATTCAGTAAATATTTCTACATACTATACAGTCACTCATGTGACAAAAAAGAGAGGTAGCTGTTTAACTAGTCATCAAGTCTTCAGGAAGTTATGCTTAGCGACACTATATCCATCACTTGTGGCCTATCAAAGGGAAAGTCGCGCCCCCTTATGCCTCTAGCAATGAGATGACTGATCTCCAAGATTCATTGGATTCCTCATCCTGATATTCCAGTCACGCTTAAGTCAACTACTTACCGATATGTCTGACCGAATATGAATCGATATCATTGATAATGGTCGAGAACTTGCTTGGTATGTCAGAACTAAGAATTGTGGAGGCACGATTTTGTAATGGATGACTGCACTGCATTAAGTTAGTAGTAACCGGAGTATCGGCAACCGAACAATCCCAACAAGTAAACAGAAGTCAAGATTTCCTAATCACCGTAAGTCCTTGCACTTAGTGAATTCAATTGGTAGAAAGAAATAACAACGGACATTTATGTAGCATGGAAATTGAAATCATCATTCACCACATCTTAAATGTCCTTCTGTATGTTAACATTTTGAAGTGTGAGTTGCTTCACAAGTTTCTTATATCTCGTCACTATTTCTAAATAACTGTTATTGCTGACATAACCCTATAGAATCTTGAAACAGGATTACTTCATGAATCATTAGAACTATTATGGGAACGACCTACCTGATTTACATTCGTGCCGGCAGGTCTCTGTTTCTTTCGTGAAATAAACAATATCCCACGTGTAAAATCTTCGAAAATTATCTAAACTTGTTCTGTAGTATAGTTACACTCATGGCCGATAGTCATTTCTTTCGTAACATTGTACATCTGATAAGATCATCCTATCCATAATTGTGTGAAGAATTTGACATTTGAAGAGTTTACGTGGAGCTTCATGACATTTTGTATTTCCTGCATCCCCATGCTGAAGCAGCAAACTATGAACACACTGTTCCAGCTCTTCTCAACTACTTGCATTCACTGATGTCATGACGCGCTTCAGAGTTCGCACCAAGTCTTCTCACAACCCAGTTGACTAATGTTGATGTAGGGCTATGAACTAATAAAGGCAACCAGTATCTCGAAGTCAGTCGTTGATATTCTTCTCAGTGAAGTGTTTTGCATTGTTGTTTCACAAGTCGCAAGACAATCCAGTGGGAAGCAACAGTCACACGTTTTACTAATTGAAGTAGCCTTCTACTGCAATATTATTTCACCTAATGACACATTTCCATAACCAGGCAGTAGATTCAATCCCATAAGTGTAGAAATCGTCGGGTCACTGCCTTCATGAAACGGCTTCAACTCCATTTCAGAATGCATAGACAGATGTTACAATTGGCCAGTAGAAAAACCACTGCATCACATACATGGAGAAACACTTGCAAAAATTGTCATCAAAAACTGCATTTATAAGTTCGATGTGGCAAGTGAGATTACTACAGAAAGGGGTGCAAAATTTGAGAGTCCTCCATATCAACATAAAAACGAAAATCTCGGAATCAAACGCATGAGAATTGCTTCTCACAACCCTACTAGACAGGAAGCATGTATCGATACACATATCTCTGATATAACGTCTGTATCCAAAACAAGGCTTTCCCAATGATCGGAAATCACAGCTAACAGAGAAACAACCACGTGACAAACACACAACTAGTAATCCTGACAGATGCACGAAAACGTTGACAAGAAATCACTAGTGGTAATGTTCCTTCCAAACCATAAACTTTTGAGGTAATCCTATCCACTTGTCACAATTATTGCTTCGCAATAACAATTCGAGTATTACGATTCCAACTATATGTCTTCACTTCACGAAATATCGTGAGCATTGTAGACAGTCAGTTTCGTATTTGCACTATCGTTGACCTCATCCCTAAACAGATACACATGCGATCTGTTCCCATCGCGACAATGCGTTCTACTCATGCTATCCTCAATTATTCCTAATATCTGAAAATCAGTAGATCTTTGATAACTTGAATGTCTCGCACATTGTTACATCAAACACAGAGATTTCTGATAATTTTTGTATGTATAACATATATGCAATATTGCAATGGTTGATGTATTCATAATTGACATTACTACGTAACGCTTGTACAATGGTCCTGACTAGAATAATTCTAACTCCTTCCCGTTGTTTTGAATATGTTCTTTTGGAGTTGAATGCAAGTGTCCATCTGCATATCACGTCGTCTGCTGTTTCCACACAATGTGACACTGGTGAATAGGCAGTTGCTAGGATAATGAGAGGAGTGACGTCCTTTGAAGAAGATAAATACTGCAGTGTGATACGAGTGGCATGACATGACATATGCGCAAATCACATCGTCAGAATATGTGTCTGCACATAAGAATCGAGAGCA